ATGGGCATCAACAGCTGGGTCTGAATGGTCATTAAACGGAGTCACGTGCCTATGCTGTAGACACTATATAATTCTAATTGTTAAAGAAGAGAAATAATGAATCTACAGATTTATTAAATACTTGACAGCATGAAAAATTCAAAGCTCAAAATTTGCATTAAGCCCTGGTTAAAATTTTAGTGGACAGTTACGATTTGTCCACTTATACAAAGTGGAATTTTTACGCAAAAATATTAAAAAAAAAAGTTCTGCAAAGTTTAATATGGTCCTAAATATCAAATAAAATCTGAAGCTTTAGCAGAATTTATTTACTTCTTTCATATTTTTGTTTTGCGTAGTTGTAGTTGTAGATACTCTGTTTTCAAGGGCAAAATTCGCAATACCGGAAGCTTGTTGCTAACTACATACTTTATTGTTTAAATTGATACATTTAATCTCAAAAATAATTCTTGAATCGGACTGAGGTCGCACGTTGAACTCTAGCTGCTGATTTGTCAATAAAATTTCAGAGAGCATCAACATTTGTAGTCAAGAAGTGAACATTTCTTTTAGATAGAGAGCATTGTTGGAAAAAATTCCATAAATATAAAAAAAAATAGGTTTCTCTATATTCACCACCTTTTTGATCTATTATAGAGTGATTACAATTACTTTAAACATTTTTAAGTAATTCTTGTCCAAAGTATTTATATGGAGCTAAAAAGCAGTGTAGAAAGTTTAAGTTAAAAGTACGATCTAGGAATTTTTGAGGTTTTATAGTTCGATAACTCTCCAGTCTGATGAAATAAATAGCCAAACGGAAGCATTTTTTTATATGTACCTAAGAGTATAGTAGCTCTTAATTGACTGATTTATTATAGTTTCTATAGTTTATGTTAGGTTGCAGTGGCTGCCCACCTATCAATTCATTCACTTAGACCTGTCTTACACCCATTGTGATACCACAAAAACTTAAACCATCAGGTTTCATCCTCCAGCTATTTTGATTCTTTAGAGAACCTCATTAGATCCATGACTTTGACGTCAGCTATCTTCGATAGACCATCCAACAGTAGGGTCTCAAAATTACAAAATCTCGCCCTGCTCAAAGCAGGATAGTCGCATAAGAGATGGAAGTACATACATATCTCGCGATTTCTTCTTATCCCATTTCAGCCATGTGTGCCTGGTTTTGCTGCAGGTTGTGATGTCATTCCACATTGTAGCAACTTGTTCATAAATGAATTCCTTGAGAAGTAGTTTTCATGTAGCAAAAGGCATATCAACGCTTTCTTTATCGAGAATAACCTTCTCGATCGTACCTCACCTAGGAACTTCATCCGCATTACAATTTCCCCTGTGACCGGGCACCCATGTGAGAGACAGTCTGTTCTGTTTGACCATCTCGGGTAAAGATCGGCGCCAGTTCAGCACTAATTTGGAGTTTAGCGTGAGCGAGCCCAGTGCTTTTATTGCTGCTTGACTATCGCTGAAAATGAAGGTATCCTTGCCTTTAAAGTTGACTCGGATTTACCTGGAAAACACTGCAATGGTCAGGTAGCCTGAACGAGAGCGCCATCGGCTATAGTTTTCTTCGATCATTTATTTGTAATCATGTTTCTACAATTTACAGGGAATTTGGTTTATTTTTAATGCTTTGTTTTCGAGATTTTCACACAAGTTTCGTTGTATGCCAAGCACGTGTAAACTTTGCATGCTACCAGATAGTGTTCATACGACTGATAAGGTTTAGTCCATTTATTTCATTACAATAAAAGATTATTACAATTATTGACAAATAACGAAAAAATGTGTACTTTGAAATATGCATTAGCAGAATTGTGTCAGCTAAAGTAAATGAGTTTTTACATTATTTTTAAATTTATTTATGCTTCTATGACTTTGGTCTATAGATTTTGTAATTATTATTTATACTATATGAACATAATGTCTCGGTTCATTGTCTCTTTTATCTCCCTATTGACCATATAGAGTAAATTTCTTTGCTTTATTAAATTTCTTTTTTTCATAAAACCACGCTTATCAGTCAATTTTACAATATTTTTGACGATTTATATAAGTTTAATAAGATTTCTAGGTAGAGCATGTATTTGCTAACTCAGTATATGTTTGCTTGTGTGTAAGGGTAATTTCTTGGCTGGCTTTTCTATTTTGCTTACTCAAAAAATGTATTCTTTTGTAGCTTCTTTTCATGTGGGAGCAGCGCTTGTTGCGAGAGAAATCGGAAATGTTGTGTTGTTTCTCCTCTCTATTGCACAGTGGGATATTTTAAGCAAATTAAGTATAAAAACTAGCTTATTGATCGTCAAACTGATTAGGAATCTATACTGTCAGCTCCTGGCTACTAATGTAGAAAAAACGCTCAAAGTCCTCTATTGATCTCAGTTGCCTGTAAGAGCTACATTAATAGCGGCACTCCCTTCCCTGAGGAGCGTGAGATGAAGACTCTGTTTTGTTAAAACCAAAATAAAATGAAACTGTTAAGCTTTCCTGATTCTCAATGAGTTATCGTGGGACCTGACAATGAAGGCTTTGGAAATAAAAAGTAGTTCCGCTCTTTCCGACCTTTAATAAAATAGATCCGTCCCCATCGCATGGACGTTGATTGATCGATTCTTCGAACGACATCCGCAAATTGTATCTGTGTGTGTTTTTTTTTCTTCGCTCCACTGTACGCTACCCGCTGTCTGTGTTTCTCTTCATTACTCTTATTGAACGTTTTTAGCAACTCGTTGTTTCTCAATCGTGCGGCAGCTTATACACATGTAGTTATGCTCGATATTGTTTACCGATAACGCTAATAAAGCGGAAAAAAGCAGTGTGCTCTGCTCGTATGGAAAATTGAGAAATATTTTCGTCTTTAAATAGCTTCGCACAGCCGGCAAAATTTTCATTCTACTCAACGGTTGCGGCCAAAGTAGTACCTTTCGTATCCGAACGATCACTTGAAGCGCCCGCGCACACACGCACACACACACATACGTATATACGTATACTACGTTTATTAGCAGACGCTTTGTTGAGTAAAAATAAATTGAAATAAATAAAATTTGCTGGTTCTAGTGCCTTCCATAGAGGAAAGTGTTTTGGCAAAGCAGATAATTGCATTTTTCTTAATTAAAAATGGGTACGAAAATTATTTTTTTATTGTAGTTATATACATGTGCATTAATTTTAAGAAAAATTAACAGATACGATTTTTTAAGATTTTTTTTTAATAAAAGAGGTTGAATCATTATATATTTAAATACAAAGTAATATAATAAAAGTTTTGAATAATAAAGGGAAAAAGAAGTGATCCATAGAGTGACAGAAATAGTTATTAATCATAAAATTAATTTTTTGCCTGACAAATTAAAAAATTTAATTTGGTTGTAAATTGTGTTAAAAAAGCAATTTTTTTTTTGGTTTAGCGTTACTTCATTGCTTGAAAAGAGTTTTCAAGGTTGGAGATTCTGTTAAAAAAGCAATTTATTGTTGTTTTTTCAATTGCTCCCTTCGATCTTTTTTTTTTAACTGAATAAATCTTATTTAATAATTTTTTATATAATTTTTCTTTATTCAAACATAAAATTGTATTAAGATTTTAATGCCGAAAATATTTATAAGGTAGTAAAAAAATTAACTTAAGAAAATTTATTCCATAATTTTTTTCTTTTAAAAACTAAAAATAAAATAAAAAAAAAAAAATTTTTTGAATAAATGAAGGAATAAAGAAATTAATAAATAACGAAAGAAGAATATTTAGAAAAAGAATTAAATAAAAACCAACTAAAATAAAATATACAAAAAAAATGAAATAAAAAGAATTAATTAGTTTAAAAAAATGAATAAGTGAACAAATAAGAAATATAGCTAAATGAATAATAAATAATTAAAAGAAAAAATAACTTGCAAAGTTTAAGAAAAAAATAAATAAATGAAAATAAATTAAAAAAAAATAAATAAATGAAAATAAATTAAAAAAAAATAAATAAATGAAAATAAATTAAAAAAAAAAATAAAACTAAAGAAAAAATGCATCATAAAAATAAATAGAGAAAGTAAAAATCATAAAAAATATAAAAATCAAAAATAATAAATAGGAAAAAAAATATAGAAAAATTTTAAAGAAGGAACAACGAATAAAGAGGAATTAGAAATAATAAAAATAATAATAGTTTATAAAAAATGAGTAAATAAAAAAAATTAAAAAAAGAAATGAAAAATATAAAATAAATAAATAACTAAGAAAAGGAATATAAAATATAAATAAAAGAAATAATAGAAAAAGAAATAAAAAATAAAATAAAAATGAAAAATATAAAAAAAAAGTAAAAAATATAAAAAAAAATAAAAAATATAAAAAAAAATAAAAAAAAATAAAAAAAATAAAAAATATAAAAAAATAAAAAAAAATAAAAAATATAAAAAAAATAAAAAAAAATAAAAAATATAAAAAAAATAAAAACTATAAAAAAAATAAAGAATGTAACAAAAACTAAAAATTTAAAAAAATATAAGAAAAATGAAGTAAAAGAAATATAAGATATAAATAAATAATGGAAATAAATATGTACATAAAAATATAAGAAGTTTGAAAACTAAAATGAAAAATATAACAAACAAGAAACTTAAAATAAATGAAAACAAAAAAATTTAAAATAATAAAAAATTAAAGAAAATAAAACGATAAAAAATAAAGGAATGAAAAAAAACAATGAACAAATATAAATATAATAAATAAAATGAATACAAAAAAAATACTTAAAAATAATTATGTAAAAATATAAAAATTCATAAAAATAAAGAGATAATAATGAATTGGTTAAAAAAATAGTTTTCAACTAAGACATGAACTTAATTCAGTCATACAGTCTCAAAACAACTTATTTACTTATACATAGATACACATATATATTTATAAGATATATATCTACTTTCATTCTAATTAAATTTCATTTCCAAATAACTCATCTATTTTTCCTCCTCTTTTTCTTCTTCTTTCCATCTTAACACAGAGGCTATGCGTAAACTCGACGCCACCTTGGTCGCCTATCTGGCCGGTGAGACAAAGTTGCAATCGAAGCAATTGGAGCCAGAGCTGGAATTGAATTTGAATTCGCCAAATAATGAGTCAAGCGCCGCCGATAGCGATGAATATGTTTTGGAAGAATTCTCCGACACCGACACCGATGCCGACGAACAAACGGTGGAGAAGATAAGACGTGAAGAGTTGCAGCTATTCAGACGCATCAAAAGCATGAAATTGCAATTGGAAGCGCTTACACTAGAACCAGAGGGCACTAAACGTATGGAATTGCTACAAAACGAGACACGTCCCATTTTCACCGTTGAATGTCAGCTATCGCATGAATTGATCCAGCATGTGCCACGCTATGAAATGTTCCATATTATGCAATTCGAATCGGAAAAATTCAATAGTCTCACACAGTGTACACGTTTCGGTCAGGAGGCACAACGTGACATCAATTTGACGCCATTAATCGATGAATTGGATGCCTTGAATGGTAATTGTGTTGCCGGTAATGGGAATGGCGCTGCATCAACGGATATGGCAAACTTTGGTCGCATACACTTTGCCGTGTGGTGGCGTGAACCGGGCACTTGCCTCAACGAAATGCTCGGCATGGGCGTATTTGAATTACGCGAACTATACGATGCCGCGCTGTTGGAACAATGCAAACGCATTACAATTCAACGTCGTGGCGTGCCATTGGCTAATATTTATTTGAAGATAAATCTACTCTTGTGCACTTTAGCCGATACCAATAACAACAATGCAAGTGACGTTGTCGCATATGAGCCGGCAACGGAGGCCGTAAAAGAGCATGGTGGTAAAAAGAAGAAGGGCGGCGCTAAACGTGGTGATGGTAATGCCGCCAAAAATACAAAAGCTGGCGCTGGCTCAACGGCTGCAGGCACATCCGCTGGTGCTGCTTCCGCCTCCTCCTCGTCGAATACTACAGGTGATTATCACGTCGAGCGTTTGCTGTTCTTGAAAGATACCGACATTCAATGACTAAGCCTAAGAATTAATATGTGTGTGCGCGTGTGCGCGAATCCGCCACTAGTTGGTGAATCAAAACATCATACGTGTAGACCGGGTAGTGGGTCTAACCGTAAAAATAGCATCTACATCATAAATTTCCCCAATTTCACAATAATGCAAAATTTTCACAATTACATCATCATTGATACAAATCATTGTCGGCATGAATTTGTATTTCATTTAGTATTTGGCACTCATACTAGTTATGATGTGAATAATGATGAATTTTTTGAACAAAACAAATTATTATTTGTAACTTTCTTAAATTATCTTACTTTATACATAATAAATATGTTGGATATAGTTGAAAAGAATGAACAAGAAAAAACAGAAAAAAAAACAAGAAAAAAAAAACAAAAAACAAAACAAAAACAACAAAAAAAACAAAAATCAGTTTCTCTTTATTTTTAAAATTTTTTTTATATATTTATTTACATAGCCATTATTACACCTCTTTATTACCATTTGTACTGTTACTCATACGTTAGAAGTAGGCGAGCCAGTTTTGGTATAATTTGTTGAGATAGGAAAGATCTTGATTTAATCAGAACTCGTCATTGAACGCTGTCTTATCAATGCCTTTTTTTGTTATTATAACGCTGCTCAGAAAAGTTGGACTATTGCAAAAAAATTCTAGTTAATTACAAGTATCTCGATTTAGATTTTCACCAATAATGGGAATTATAATGATTTCCACCACCACGGTATTCACCCTACATAGCTGAACTAGTATTAAACTGGTATGAAGCTGACTACTCACAGTTCGGAGGATATCGTGATATCAAAAATAGCACTTGCTTAAATGAAGAAAATGATGGAGAGTGTAAAAATGCAAACTAGTTGAATTCTAGTTAAGCACTAATAATTTATCGTGTAGTTTCTATATAAAGATTCGCCTATCCGCATGGAAATTTCGAGACATTTCTTAAGCGCTGGTTAAAGATAGTCAAGCAGTCATTCGTTGCCATAGAAATTTTACTCGCTTTTGAATGAAACCAATTTCCATAGAATGATTGTCTTTCCATATTGTACTTTTGAAGGAACTCGGAGCTTTATAAGCAATTCTTTGCCAACACTGATTGTACCAGAATAAGCGTAAGGAGACCTCGCAGCTGTTGCTGCGAACGCAAAATTATTGCCTGACTGTCGCAGGGCCTATTGCATTTAAGTGGCCACTTCCGACGACAGGTATGTCCAACCGAAAATAAATTCTTATACCCCATCCCGCAGCTCTGCTCGGTGTTGTTCGTCTAAAATAGCCACTGGAGCGATATGCAGCAATTTTTTTTTTAAATTTATCGTTAGGTCGGAAGGATGCTATTTAACTGCTGTTGTTATAAGCTTGGCATTTACGAAGTGGCTAGTGAAAAACCATTTCAAGGTACTCAAGAAAACCGGTACATCCTGACGGCTTTATAATTGGAAAACGGCATTAAAAGAAGATGTCTTGAATGAGCTTAAAACTTAAGTTTTATAAATCCTGTCGTGCGTACTATCGTTCATAAGGCCGTGGCTTAAGTCCTAGTCTGACCAATATAATAAATAATTAATTTTTCTGATTGAGGTCGCTCCTCGACAGGATATGTCAAGCTCCCCGAGCGTATTTCTGATATGAAATGAAAGCTCACAAAAATCCATCGACGTTCCGTTCGGAGGTGGCTTAGACTAAACTGTATGTCTTTCCATTTGCTTGAAAGATATCAAGACAGAAAACCACAAACTAGAGTAGGAGCTCAGTCGAAAAGCGTTACAGCCGTTACAGAACAGCAATTATATAATTCCCAACCAGCTTAAGAATTTCTTTCACAACCACCATTACGACTGCCGGTGTTCGCTCCAAGTAAATAAGCTACCGACATGCGCATTTCGTTTAATTCATTCCTGTGTTCTTTTAATTCTCAACTCATTTATGAAAATACTAAAGTATTCTTGAAAGCTACAACAATTTTCTCGGACTAATTGTTTTGTACATACATTTTTAAGAACGGTAGTAATGTTTTACTCGCAAGGTCGCAAGGTCTGAAGACAGGATAAAGTTTAAGTTTTCGAAAGTATAAGAGGTAGGGAGTTTTAGCGAGGTCAAGCACTGTTAATTGGTGAAAATGGTTAAGTTTTCTTTTATATTTAATGGGAACATTTAATGTGAATTCGCCTAAAAGTATGCAATAAAGTGACACATAACCTTTATGCGTTGGTTCCAATTTTTTTTTAAAGGGGATTCCTTTTCAGGAATTAACAAGATTTTAAATACGGCGTCAAATAACTTAGCCCCTCCTTAATCGGAAATTCTTGAACTATGGTCAGGGGAGATAAAGAACTTTCAAAATAGCCGAGAACAGCACTTTTTTTTATTTTGCTATAAAAAAAAAAAGAAATTATTTATAAGAGTCTTTCTTAACTCACCTGCTCAGTTTTCTGTTTACTCCTAACAAAACCAGGCAAAACCAACGACGGCAACGATGTTAAACCCGATACAGAGAACAACTTCAAAGCCGAGACTTTGAAAGTGCGTCTACTCACAGGCCTAATAACTGCTGGGGAGGTGCGTAATTTAAAGCCAGCACCGAATTATGAATACCATCTTCATGTCGATCGCTTTTGGAGATCGGAACCGGCTACAGCAATACTTGAGGATGAACCACGCTTCCATTATGAAGAGGTAAGTAACTTAAGATGATGAAATGTGCCGCTGATTTTAAGCACTTTTAATGTTTCTTCTTTTTTTTTTTAAAGCAATTCGCTGTAATTAGAGATACTGTTTTTTTGAGTAATGTCAAAAACAAATATCTGAGATTGCTAATTTATCAACGGCCCAAAACCGATGGAGACACTGATGGCAACGGCAATCCGAAGACACGCTTGGAGCCAGTGGGCTTGGCATTATTGCCGCTTCATCAATTCTTTATAGCATTTAGTAATGATCTGATCTCGAATCGGTTGGTCAGAGAGAAGGTGTGTACAGTTATATAAATCTGATTTACTAGTATATTAAAGTATTTTCAAATATACTTAATCTGTATTATTTACAGTTACCTGTTATTTCCATTGACGCATTTACACCCGTTACGGGCTCAGATGGTACAATGTTGGGTGAAATCAATTGTCTATTGGCAATTGGCAGCACGGAGCAAATTGATAATCTAAAAAGACAACGTGGATTTCGGCCATTGCACACGGATATGTTTGCCGAGGTGGGCATAGATAGAGGAGATGAGCCACTCTATAGACATATACGTATGCCGGTACCCGAAAATATCCGCCAGGTTATAAAATCGAGGAATGAAAAAAATATTATTCGTGAAACTGTTAATATGTTGCATATCTTAGAAAAGGCATTAGAACAAAGCCGTGCGTGTAAACCCACATCAGGTGATGATAATAAATCAAGTGCACAAGCATCGAAATCTCCGTTACCAGCATTACCGTCTGTGCCACCACTATCTGTGGCGTCCACATCAAAAGGAGCTGCTACAGCAACAACCACGGCACCATCAGCTGCCCCATGGTCAACATCACCGACATTATCAGATGAAGAATTCTTAGAAGATTTTGCTCTTAGGCTTAAAGCTAAAACACCTGTTGCCACGGACACAACCAACCCTGCAGCGAAATTAAAAGCACTTATTTCCAAAATACAAGAGGAACCCACTTTCCAATTTGAGCTGATGATAACTAGCGCCGTTGGTCTAGTACCATACTATACCCCCTTGGAAAATACTTTGGAAGCAAGACGTTTTCCACCAGGCGAACTTCCAAGCACTTATGTAACATTCCAGGCAGAAGATTGTGTAGGTCACAGCAGTTTTTACAGTTCAGTTGAAGGGAAACAGTATGCTACAAAAATTGTGGAGCGTAGTGTTCATCCAAGTTGGGATCAAAAGTTTTTGGTCACTGCGAGTACAGCATATTTAGATAAGGTATGGGGCATTGTATATTTCGTATGTGTGTACTTTTATACCAGAGATCTGCTTTGAATAATGTAAAAGTGGATAGAGTTACATCTTGTCCACGTAATTTTTGTATTAATATAAACATTTATCCCACTCTTAAAAGTGAGAAGTACTTCATACTCATTCTCAACGTCATATAAATACATACATATATGCAAGGATCAAGGATCCGAATAGCTAACGACTCTCTATGAAGAGCTTTTTATTTCATGTTTAATTTTTTTTCTTTTACTTTGCTATATTTTCTTCTTTGTTTTTAAATTTAAATTTAAATAATTTTTTTTATTTTATTTTTATTTATTTATTTATTTTTGTTTTAATTCTTTTTATTTTATTTTACTTTGCTTTATTTTAATTTTTATTATATATTTGTTTTTTTTTTTTTAATTATTTTAATTTAGTTTTTATATTTTAATATATTTTTATTAATTATTTGTTATTTCAATTTAGTTTATTTTTATTTTTATTAATTTATAAGTATTTTTGATTTAATTTTGTTTATTTTAATATTTAACTTTTTTAACATTTGTTCAATGCAGTTTTTGATTTCATTTTATTTTCGTTTATTTTGCTTTATTTTATATTTTTAATTATTTTTATTTTTTTAATTAAGTAATGTTTTATTTTATTACTATTTATTTATTTTCTTGATTTCATTTTATTTTATTTTACTTTGTTTTATTTTCATTTTATTTTTAATTAATTATTTTTTTAGTTCAGTTTCTTTCTATTTCGTATTTATTAATTGATTTTTTATTAATTTTGTTTTTTCGTTTATTTTGCTTTATTTTAATTTTTTTCAATTAATTTTTTTTATTTTAATTTAGTTAATTTTTATTTATTTATTTTCTTGATTTAATTTTACTTTGTTTTATTTTAATTATTATTATTTATTTCTTTTAAGTAATACATTTTTTAAGTTATTTAAATTTAGTTAATTTTTGTTTTACTTTTATTTATTTATCTTATTGATTTCATTTTATTTTTATTATTATTATTTTGTTTAATCTTTTTTATTAATTATTTTTTATTTTCATTTAGTTTATTTTTTATTGCTTTTATTTATTTATTTATTTTTTATTTATTTATTTATTTTTTTTTATTTAAATAATTAAACTTTTTACATGTGTGCAATGCAGCTTGAATTTTTTTCTTCATTTTGATATATAATATACATATCACTTTTACAGCCCGGTAAAGCATTCATTTTGAAGCTATGGAAGAGGGCAAACATACCGTCGGCTGATGTTATAAGAGCTACGTCACCATTGGCACCAACACCGGAAGATGATGCGATTATTGGCTTTACTGAAGTGTATGTCTCATGTTTTTTGGATAAATGTGGTGTGACCGGCCTTTTTCCTGTGATAGACGTTAATGGCTGGATTAGGGCGCAATTGCAGTTGAAAGCAACTGCATTGGCAGGTTGGTTTGATAAGTTTGAAGAAGCTGCAGCGGACGAAATAACGTCACCGAAACAAGAACCAAAACCAGAGTTGGAGCCAAAGCACCAATGGGTGCCAGAGTTGGATTCAAAACCCAAAGAAATATCAAAATCCAAACCAAAGCAGATCACACAGATTCATGAAATTACTCCAATGCCAGCTTACGCAGGCGTTAACGCACAAGACGCTAGTATGTTTGATAACTCGAAATCAGAGAATGCTCTTGAAGAATTTGGAAAATCGCTCAATATTACTCATCTAAATCTCAATGAAGCTGTCAAGCATAAATGCATCGAACTCGAAGGTATTTCTCAACGTTTACGCACACGGCTTGCCGATGTGACCGGCGTACCGCTGCCAACAGAGTTTAACATGTCCGCTTTAAATAATTGGCTGCCACTTGATGAGGAGGAAATGGCAGAGTTGGGCGGAGATGAAGAATTAATGGAATTCACACGCGATATTAATAATCCACCAACTGAAAAAGCTGGAGCAGCAGCTACATTTGAAGATTACATCAATATGAACGACCTTGAAACAACAGTTACAGCTGCTGTCAATAATCAAAGTGATAAGAAAGAAAATTGATCTCAAAACAGTCGCCAGGAGCGGCGAAAATCGTCACTATTGCATAGTGGCGTTGTAAACGCAGGAAAAGAACTAAGTCAACAAAGCCAGCACCAGTATGAGCGGTGCAGCATAGCAGTAATATTACAGTTAATCAAATACAAAACACTCTAGCGCGCTTTGCGCCTAATAGTAGCACATTTAGCAAACCAAACTAACATTTTTAGCACCAGAATTATCAACTATTAACGTCATAAGCATCAACGTCATCATCACAACCACCGCCACCGATCACATAGATGTATTTCAGCTACTAAGCTATTTCATAACCAAAACATAAAATTTAAATGGAATTTTAAAGTAAAGGCTCAATAGTACTTAAATAATTGTAACTGTATGCAGCAGATAATGAGAAATGCGAATTTTGTTTGCCAATTTTTTAAAAATAATTATAATGATAAAGTTATGTGTGTGTATGAGTATTGATAAATATTATATACATATAAATAGCTATTTACAATTACTATATATATAATATAATATTATGATGGATGTTTTAAACGCCCTGCGATCCTTAATAGCTAAGCGAAATTGTTATTACTTTCTTCCCTTCTTATCTTTATACATAAATATTTCACCAAATTAGCATTAATAATTTACTATACATAAATACATTAAAATGTAGTTACGTACGTACATATATATATTTGCATAAATCGTAAAAAGTATTGAATTACTCATATACTATTTTTATTTTATTTTATTTTTAATTATAAATATATTTTTTTTTGTTTTTGTAGATGATGAAGTATTTAGTTGCACTAAGTATTTCCTTATTATTATTTGTAAAAATTATTAAAAATATATGTATTAAAAAAAAAAAAAAAAATTCCATGAAAAATACGTTTAGATGCAAGGCATTCGAATTATATGTATTTAAAACTCGTGAAATCAAAGCGAAATATAAAAGGAAATCAATTTAAAGTCTTATCTAACTAAGTCCAGCAGCAAATTCTTTGTGTATGAATTTAATAATTGAAAATCAAAATGAATTCAATAAAAATGTTACTGGTTTTATGTGAAATTCAATTTGTTTTATTCCAATTTCTAGTTGAAAATACTGAAAATTGTGCAGAACTTATAAGGTCTGCAAACTCTCCTCTGGCACAAGTAAGCTTTAGGGTACCATCAAATCATTATCTAACTGGATAGAAATTTCATTCGCTGACTGCATCTCATCCGACTTGAAGCAGTGCGTCAGCTTTTTTCAATTTTCGTTTTTGCACTGCACCCTTGGATTGACCAGTGACAAACAAACAACCAAGCAAAAGTACTACTCTTGGTTTCTCCAGAGGGAAAGTTCAGGGGCTTTCCGGAAGGCCAAAGTCACTAAATCCATCCGCACCGGCGTAATAAGTATGCTGATGGTAACACGTTTAGGACGAATCTCTTGTTGTCTATCAATACCTTACTTTAGGAAGCAAGGCAGAGTGGTTCTGTTACTGAGACGGGAGAACACTGGCAACAAAGACGAATCATTGCTGCTCCCGTGTTTCACTCACCAACTGAACGGGAACTGCCCTAGTAACAGTGGATCTGTGAAAAAGCTAGGTCACGGCTACTATCGCATTGCCATAATCAGACATAGAGGGATACTCTCATTGTTGCCGGGGTGAAAGATGTGGACCACGAATTACGTAAGTAAATATCGAAAATATATATATAATATTTCGAAACTCTCTTCACTACCAGAGACCGTTTCCTGATCTCGTACGCTAATAACTGCTCGATATTGGCGGCCGCTGCACTTCGACCCTGCACGACAACTAAAACTTGCACTGGCGTGATTCGCAGCATGCCCCTTCACCGGCTGGTTGAAGGGGTACCGACTAGAACTGATTGAAAAAGTCGACGGCATCGAAATTCTGACATTAAAAACCCCTAACTGCTAGAAGTAACATTCGACATGTGTGCTTTATTCCTTTACACCGCATACGACTGTGATTTTCATCAAACCACAGAGCCGCCAATGAAAGCCAAATCATAACCAAGCCTCATTAGGAACACAGCGCTTACCTAATACCCCTCTCGCTGTACCTAATCTCGGATTATCGAAATCGGATTATCTTGTTGCCCGGACCTCAAGTTAAAAGGTGGTAGAGGAAGCCACTGAGCGATGACTAGCAAAACGACTAGCATGCCAATTTACATCGTCAGCTTCGATTTTCTGTTTTTAATTACTGCTTTGACTAACTTTTGGCAACTCTGTTTTTGATTTTGTAACGAATAGTAGATGAGAAAATTGCCAATTGCTGTCACAGCCGTTTTTGACATTTCCACTTTCTTCAGTGATTTTTTCATAAAAAATATTCGCTGCATTCAGTTGCAAACGTCAATCGGTGGCGAGTTGATTATTTTCTATAATTTAACTCATATATTTTTGCAATTTTAATTAACTTTTTTTTTTACATGACCCCCACTCACTGGTAACCAAATTGGGCATGTACCAATGGTAAGCCCCAATAGAGAACTGTGAGTAGGAAGTGAACAGTGTATTAAATACAAAAATACCAATGTATTTGTAAAAAATAAATCCTAAGTGAAAATAGTTTAAATATATTTAAATTTTTTACAGTAAGGAAATTTGAAAAATTTGCAAAAAAAAGAAAGAAAAAGAAAATAAAAAGTAGCAACGAAGCCACTTGGGAGTGTACCTACTCAAGCTGTGAAAATTGGAAGTAAAGTTGAAACAAAAGAAAATAACATAGCACAGCAACAAAGCAAGAGATCCAAAGCAACAGAAGCACATAATCTTAACTAGTGAAGTATAGTGACGTAGGACAGTGAAAATTAAGTAGTGAAACGTTCGTGAAACAAAAGACTGCAATAATTAAATATTAAAAAACGTTAAAAAAGTCATACAGCGGCACATGCCAAACTCAGCGTTAAACTGTGCCGTATAGCAACCTACACGCTGAAGAGGAGGAGTACACTGGATATTTGGTGAGGTAGCCAAAGAAATACGTGCCGACATACGCACACATACATACATATGTACATATTTGCAAAGCAGCAATCGTGTTCATTTCCAAAATTTAACTAGGTAAGTGTGATTTGCGCAACGGCCAAGTAGAAGTTTGCGAACTACTGTCATATAGGTAAATGTATATATAAGTACCCAGTGCTTGTTATGTTATTCTCCTAAATTATTCGTAGATATATTAGTAAAGTGTCGTTGAACGTTGTGGTTCTTACCTGCTTACATATGTACATGCATATGTATACGTACATATATTAGTACATCGGAAAAGTAATTTTCACAATTCTATCGAATGCAATGTAATTGGAAACTTGGCAAAGTTGGTGCAAGCCGGTTGCTTCTGTGTTCACACTTTCTTCGTTGCTCGTACGTCTACCTGCATGGCTCTGACGTCTTGCCATTGCACTGGGGTTGAGTGATTGGCAGAGTATATTATGTCTCAAGTGACACGCATCTACCGTCATGCCTCTGAACTAATGTAGTTAATGGGTATGTACATATGTACATTGTGCACGGTTTAGGTTGGTATATAAATATATACTAAGCATGTAAGCAGGTACAATTAGTTCCACTAAAATGTTGCTGTTACTTTCCTGTATGTAGTTTTGGTTTTTGTTTTTATTTTTTTTTTTGGGTTTCCAGCAGTTAATGAGCTAGTAGTGTTAGATATCTTGTCCATGTTTTGGTCTAACGCTTTTATATATATTTACGAGTATGTATGTATGTATGTACATACAACAATTATTTGCATATATATTTACTAACACAGGGATCTGCATGCTTATTTTGCTATTTTGTGTTATATATCAATTTAATTGAAATATACATTGAAGTCTCTAGTAGGTATATAAGTATGTATGTAAGTTTATGAACCATTTCCAAATTGATTTTCAAACACATAAATACTAGAGATAAAACAAAACAAAACTTTACAACCGTTATATATTTTAAATGACAGTCCTTTTATAATGGAAAGGAATGAATAAAGTTAAAATTATGTCAGCAGAGGTTTCAATCGATTGTCAGTTATTTATGTGATCAAACAGGTGATCTTGCGGGACTTATCTGCCAAAAGTCGTGTGATCGTCTGTGAGATATTTGCCAATCATATAAGAGTTTCAATAATTAAAAATGCACTATTGTTTATTGTGACTTGAAAAAAATATTTCTAATTAATGAGAAATGTGATCTAAAAGTAAAGTGATTTGAATATGATGTGATTTGTAAGTCATATGATGTGACTTTAATGCCATAATATAATTTAATTTAATTGTTGTATTTTGAGACAAGTGATGTGGTTTAAGTATGAGGAGCTACCAACGAAATAATATGGTGTAATTGGAATTTAATTTGATGTGACGAAAAAGTGTTCTGTGTAAGACGTGATCTGAATTTCACGTGACTTGCATATCACGTGACTTGCATATCACGTGACTTGCATATCACGTGACTTGGCTATCATGTGCTCTGATCATGGTGTGATGTTAATGCGATGTGACTGCCATGTGATCTCTGAAAGTAATATTTCCTCGTTCAATAAAGCATCGCATCCCCTTCTCACAGATCGATCACAAAAAGAGTTTCGGGTGATATTTTAATCTGGTAACGCTTTACTAAGAAATCGGAGCTGTGTTTTTTGTTTTAATTGGTTCTTAGGGTTTATACGCTTACATATAAGCATACTTGAGTTTCGATATTAAAATGTAAATTTTTTCTTACAAAATGCTAACATCTTAACTGTATTGTACATACATACGTACATATGTACGATATGCTTCTTTGTTTATTAAATGAAATAAAAATATTTCTCGTAGGTAAGTAACGCAATCACAAATTTTATACGTACTTTTTTCTTTTGCTTTAATTTCTTTTTGGTTATTTGGAAATTCCAAATATGCTATACATATGTAAATATGTATGAATTGAAGGAATGAAAGCTGCTGAAGTGCCTTTTGCCATATATAAAGACATTTGTTTAAACAAAACTGGCGTTCCCTTTTGTGAATTCTAAATGTGTAGTCAAAATTACGAGCCGCCGAATGTACTTTTAACCTAATTACATTTGCATGTTCATACATTTAGCAAATTTCTTTCTATATTTATTTCTAAGAATAATAAGAAATTCTGAAAATACGCAAAAAACTAAACTAAAATTAACAAAATATGCATATACATATTTATATTTACATACATGTTTACTATATTAAGCGTCACCCTCGTGTGAACTTAACAACTGCCATGCAATAAATCTTATTTTATATGAAAATATTTCCTGCATCTCTATCGCCAATATATATGTTTGATTCAAGCTTCGATCAGGTTTTTAATCGGAATTTGCTATGTACAAATCTACCAAGTAAATATACATACAAATGTGCATATATGTTTACATGTAGGTATGCTTAACCACAAAGGCAATGACGACATGTATGCGTTATCAGTTGAAAAATAAAAATAATAAACAAATCGTACCAGTTGCCGCTGCATTTCATTCACTAAATCTAGCGTGAGGAGGAGGAGGAAACAAAGCAAAAATAAATTGTGTGCAATTTTTTTTTCAGTATATCCCTACGTTTGCACGTTACCACTATTCTTTGTTTGTGATGTGTATTTTATTGACTTAATTTGTTTACAAATATATATGTATATATATATTTGTATTGTATGTACGATATAAATATTATATTCAAGGCTTTCATTGCTTTCAACGAGCTTATGTGCCTCTCTCCAGAAACAACCGACAAAAGAGTAGTTTGAATTAAATATTGAAGGCCTTTTTATTAACTACTTTGTTTTATTTTGTTATTTTTTTATTTAATAAAACTTAATTTAATTTTAGTTTAATTTGTTCAGTAGTTTTTTAATTAGCCTTAATTTATTTTGATTTATTTCATTTTAATTTTAGTTAAATTTTATAATATTTTGAATTATTTACTAGATTAAAATATCGCTCTGTTCAAGTTTTTTTTTTAAATTTTATTTTTTTTTCAATTTTTTTATTTGATTTTATTTTTATTAATTGTTTTATATCATTATTTTTATTTTGTGTTTTATTTTATTTTATTTACATTTTATTAAATTTAAATTAATTTAATTTACCTTGAAAAATATGTATTATTTTATATTGTTTTAGTTTTTTTTCTCTATTTTATATTAGTTAATTTTATTATTTCTATTTTATCTTATTTTATTCTAGTTTATATGGCATTATTATGATGTATGTTATTTTATTTGCTTTTTATTTATTTTTTTTATTTTATAATTTTTTTTTTTATTATATTATTCTTTTTATTTTTTATATTATTTAATTTAATCTTTTTACTTTATTTCAATATTTTAATTTAATTTTTTTTATATTCTTTGATTTTGTTGCATTTTGTTTTATTTTATTTTTCTTTATTTTATTATGTCTGTTTCATTTAATTTTATTTACTTCCTTTTTAGTTTTTATATATTATTTTGTTGTGTGCTATTCTATTTGCTTTTTCTTAATATTTTTATAATGTTAATTTAATTAATTTATTTTATCTATATAGGTTTGGTTTTGGTTGCATTATGTTTCATTTTAATTTATTTCATTCAATTTTTTTAAATTAATTTTTTATTTAATTTTTTTTTATTTTTTCAAATTTAACTTGTTTTATTTTGTGATGTTGTGTTTTCTATAATTTTTTGCTTAAATTAAAATAATTTATTTCACTTTTATTTATTTTGTGTTTTTTTTTTGATGTCTAATAAAATTGATTTAAGTTAATTTTATTATTTTATTAAATCTTTTTTATTTTATTTGATTATTGAATTTTGTTTTAGTAGAAAAGTAGTTTTTTTAATTTTTTCAACATTTTATTATATTGTTGTATATAAGTTTAGTTTTATTTGACTTTATTGTATTATTTTATTACTTGTTTATTTATTTTCATTTATTTTATATTTTTTTTATTTTTTATATTTATTAGGTACTACTTTTGTTTTTCGTTTAAATTAATTTAATTTTCTTTTTTTTTATTTGACGTCAAATATAATTGATTTAAGTTAATTTTATTATTTAATTAAATCTTTTTTATTTTATTTGATTATCATATTTTTTTTAGTAGGAAAGTAGTTTTTTTAATTTTTTTTTTCAACATTTTATTATGTTATTGTATATAAGTTTAGTTTTATTTGACTTTATTGTATTATTTTATTACTTGTTTATTTATTTTCATTTTATTTATATTTTTTATATATTTCTTATTTTTTTATATTTTTTATATTTATTAGGTATTAATTTTGTTTTTCGTTTAAATTAATTTTATTTTCTTTTGTTTTATTTGACGTCAAATATAATTGATTTAATTAAATTAAATTTTTAATATATTTTATTTCGTTTGATTTTGTTTTATATTTTTATTTCTGTTTTATTTTAATTACTATTCTTTGTTGTTTAACTTTTTTAATGTTATACTATATGTGTTATATACATTTATTTAATTTTCATTTTTATTTAATTTTATTTCCTTTATTTTATTTAATATTATTTTATTTTTATTATTTTATTAATATATTTTTTTTAGTTTGGATTACTATTCTGTTTTGTTTAATTTTGCATACATTTTGTTATATTATATAATTTTAATTATATTATACTTTATTTTATTTTATATAATTTTATTACTTGTTTATTTATTTCAATTTATTTTATTTTATATATTTTTCTTATTAATTTTTTTATTACTCTTATTGTTCGTTTAAATTAATTTTATTTTATTTTTATATATTTTTCTTTCATTTTATATTTTTAATTTCTATTTCTTTTATTTAATTTTTCTTTTGCATTTTTATTATTTTATTTTCATTACGAAACATTGCGCCATTTATTGTTCATTGATAGTTTTACTTTTGATTCTGCATCGTCTGTTTATCGTCAATGTTTGGCCTAAAAATAGACAAGAGTCTATTTATCTGTTCTTCGTACCAACCCGCCTACCTTCAGTGCAAAAGTTTCTTTTCAACTCAATACCATTAATTGGATTTGATTCTTGAGTAAATGTAAATAGAGAAATTGATTGAGTAAATGAAATGGTAATGAATTGGAATTGAAGATAAAATGAATTTTTTTATTCTGCTCAACAAATGTGGCGGCTACATTAAAAAAATAAGTTTTGCTGCTTTTTATATTATTATATCATATTAATTGTTTAAAATGCATTTTATTTATTTATTATATTTTTTAATTTTTTTTTTTTATATTTGTATTATATATTTTTTGCAATCAAGTCTTCTGTTTTTTCTTATCACAACCGCCACTCGCCTTTGGTTAATGTGGGTTGTGGTGGTCCTTAAAACCTACTTACTTCGACACTTATCCCTTTTGTGGTCTTATCAACTTCTCTCTTATTTCTGAGGTTTGGTTTTTTATTATTATATTTAAAAGCGTGCTGGAGCGATATGAAAATGCAATTATTTAGTTTCTATAATGTTGCAAGAACAGCTGATATTGTTATATATGTATGTATATGATGAAATAATTCAATTATAAATATAATATGAATGAAATCATTAGAAAAAAATATGTCGAGAGGCCGGCCTTTTAATCACTTATCGGCAGTTTTTTGTAGTATAAATGGTGGTTCTATTTAAATTACGACGCAATTACAGTGTAAATGATATTAATACTACGAAAATACGGGTAATAGAGCTGTAAATACCCGCTTATTTGGAATTGTGTGTAGTACTGTACTCACTGATCTTTAGAGTGGAGCTCGTAGCACCGCTAGATATCAGCTCCTTCTCTGTATTTACCAATTGAGTGGATCGGATTGTCTACGAACAGCCCAAATTAATCCTCGCTTTAAGGGCTTATTTAGTTCTGCGTCGTCTATCAGGTTCTCTTCTTCGTTGAGGTCATTGTTATAGACTTCAATCATGCGCACATCAAATTTTAATTTTTTTCTTCTCTCCTTATCTTTCCGAAGAAACTTGAACTCGATACTTGGTTTCATCTTCAAGTTAAGTTAAGTTTCACAAGGATCCCCAATGTTTCAGTCTATGGTGGGTAGTTCCAGAATGCTATGTTTTTTTATTATATATTCAGGTTCCCAGGCTGGTCCGGAAATCAGATTGTTGCCCTTGAGCTTTGTGTTGTATCTTAAAAGTTCCACTCTGGGGTATAACATCTCGTCATTGCACTTCGCAATTTCGTTTCTCATCCATCTGGGCATAGACCGCTCACCTATGGGATGGAGTTCTATCGAGGTTATCTCGATTGTAATTAGGAACTTTCTTTTTAGCTTCATATATTTCCGTTCTCATTACTTGGCGATCCACAGTTTAGGTGAAAGCCGTTTAGGAGTAAATATGGCAGGCTTCGCTGTTACTCAACGTTACACCAAAGCCTGTAGTAACCTGGGTGGTATCCTCTTTTTTTGTTGCCCCAACACTGCTGCTATGAATAGGTTAAAAAGCGCTCGGCTTAACCATTGATCATGAGGTGTAATTCTCAACTGTCATTGAGCGAGCTAAGGGGAGACCTTTCCTGACACTCCTGTCTAGAGCTTTGAGCTTCTGATTGTTCTTTAGACTGCCGATCTCTGTAATTTATGTTGTTGTTTTTATTAAAATCCATTAACAGTGCAACGAGCGGCGAAAAAGAAGTTGTATCCGCCCTAGCAGAAATCCACAGTTCCTGATTAAAACCAAGCGTTCATCCTGGTTTCAAAAAGCTTTGCTACAGACAAGGTTATTTAAGCAGCTCGGCGCAGAAACGTACTTGTTTCAGCTCCACCACAAGCTCACTATGCATTCCATATGACAGAAGCTTTGTAGATTCCTGACTTTTGCTGGACATTCTACCGAATAGATAGTGCTTTACGAGTATCTCCCATCCAGCTGATTTTCGGCACGAATTCGTCCGATACCTTGATGCAGCTACACTGCTAGAACATGATGAATAACCATTTCCATATGAGAGAGTTGGCCTCTATCTCTTACCATTAAGCACGTTCGCCATGGACAGGAAAAGATGATAATCACTTGGTGCCAGGTCCGGACTATAAGGTGGGTGAATTAGGGCCTCCCATCCGGGCTCCTGGAGCTTCTGGTGCGTCACCAAAGATGTGTGTGGCCTGGCGTTGTCCTGCAATGTCCTGTAACACAATTCGGCCTCTGTTGATCACAGATGGCCTCTTCTGGATGAGTGCTGCCTTCAAGCGCTCCTTTTGTTGGCAGTAGAGGGTCGAATTGAGCATTTGCCAATCCCACCAAAGACACAGCAAAACCTTCCACGCCTTGACCACGACCGTTTGCTCTCGATTTTGTCCTAAAAGACCCATATTTCATCGCCAGTCACAATCCGCTTCAGAAACGGGTCGATTTTGTTTCGATTCAGCAGCGATTCGCAAATGGAAGTTCCATCATGTTTTTTTGCGTTAGTTCGTGTGGCATCCAAACATAGAGCTTCTTTTTTGAATCCAAGGTTATGCAAATGGTTCCAAACGGTTTTCTGGCTTATCTTTAGATCCTCAGCAATTAAGTAAGTGCTCACCTGACGGTCTGTTTCCACTATTTCCAGGATTTTATCGCAATTTTCGACGACAGACCTCACGACCAGTGGTGCATCTTTGACATCGAAATTACCGGAACGGAACCTAGCAAACCAGTTTTGTGGTATACGTTCGTTTACAGTATCGGGCCCATAAACTAAATTAATTTTTTTAGCCGCTTTGGCTGTTTTTTCGCCTTGATCGAAGAAAAATTTTAAATTTTATCGAATTTTCTCTTTGCTGGTGTCCATCTTTGATGAGCGCTCACAACGTACTGAGTCAATCAATCGAAAAACTGTCAAAGACAAACTTTTAGCGCAAATAAACATGTTTTCAGCGTCGTATAGTATGACATGATGCGACACGTAACACTAGTACTATGTACAATAACGCCATTTCTTAGATAAAAACCGAACGAACTTTTTACTTGATCTAATATATGTACGTACATACGTTTCATTTTTGTAGATTTCATGTGCATGACATTGTTTATTAACCGTCCGAAGTATGTAAGTATCAGAAGACGAAGAGATAGACCCATCAAAATGTACCACGATCGGGTCAGAATGACGACAACCGATTGTTCAGCTAAGAGATTTTGGATGAAAAATCCGTCCAAAAAGCAACTACAAACGTGATATTTGGTATGCTAAACGCGCTTACGCAAATAAATATTGTCACCGAAAATTATCGAAATCAGAGAACTATATCATATAGCTCCCATACAACCGATTTGTTCAGAAAATCCTAGAAACGACTAGAAAATTGCCTTTCTTTGTACAAAGTATGTATATATGTATGTATGTAATTATAATAAACAGTTGTACAATCAAAAGTCATTATCACTTGCCCAATACCTGTACCCAGCTATCTATCTATCTATTCCCAATGCCAATTAACATTTCCCACTTTTTCTAATCACTTTTATCGGGCAACGCATTTTAGCATTTCACACATAAAGTACTAATATACTTACTATGTGCACTTTTTCCAAACAAATATATGTTTGTATGTGTTTGTTTTTGCGTATGCATGTGTATGAGTGTGTTCTCAATTAGATAAAAGCTGCGACGAGCATTATCAAAAAAGGTAATCGTTATGAGCTGATTAAATATGACTGTCTGTAGGTATTGTGTTCATTGTTGTTGCTTTAGTACATAAATAATTTTTTTTTGTTTTTTTTTATTGCTAGAGCTTTTTGTGAGGTCTCGTTTGGATTGCTATTGTGGTGTGCATTTAGTGTACGAAAGACCCCAGTTGGTGGTTAGTACAATTTTTTGGCTAGTTGTTTTTGTTTTGCAAAGATTATAATTAATCATATTAATTGGCAATGAAGTAGTATCTAAATACAATATTTCGCAATATTTGCTGTTTTTTTGTGTTTTTATCGATTTGTACTAATTTTTAAAATATATTTATGCTTTGATTGCATTTTAATTAGCTTTTTCCTCTCTCTCTCTCTCTCTCTTTTTCTCTCAACTTATTAGATATCGCCATAGCTCCACAGAGACGCCGCCTTCAACATGTCCAATCAATCGGAGGTCGATTATGATAAACAATTTCAGGATGATTTAGCTAAGGCCACCGCTTTGAGCTTGGAACAGCAGGCGCTCGATGATTATCGTCGTGCCAAAAAGTATGGCACTGCCGCACACTATTACAGCGAGCAGCGTGCTCACTCACAATCACCTTCATTGCAACATTCTCACACCCAGCGACAGCAATCGACCGAATCGGTGGTGGATTACTATGCGCAATTACGTGCACGTTACCAGCAATCACGTGGGAATTCAAATGACACCGCTGCTCCGACTGCCACCGCAGTAGCACCGCCCATACCGCCCAGCCGCCGACACTCGGAGGCGAATAATAACATCTCGCTGAATGTGGCCGCTGTAACGGCGGCTTCGTGTGAACGCTCTAAAACACCGCCAGCAACGCTGCCAGAAAGTGATCTCATTTCGTTCTCGAGCCCCACGGCCAAGGAGACGCAACCGAGTATGTTTGACAAGTTAATTGAAGATTTGCAAAAGTTGCAAACGACGAGTCAACAAACGGCTTTGGTGCCATTCGGCCCGGTTGCAGCAGCGCCAATCGCACCCATACATGCAGCTGCCGCCGCTGGGGTTTATCGCGGCACACCACCACCAATGGCCGCTGCGCCAGCACACAGCCCTGCAGCTATGTATGGTGCGGCTGGTGTTGGTGTGCCTGGCGCAAATTGCATGCAGTTAGTGCCGTTTACGCCCGCATTGCAACAGCAGAAAGTGCCGCTGACTTCTGAGGAATTACAAAAGCTTTATAATATGCCGCAACAACAACAACAGCAACAGCAGCAGCAATATTATCAACAGTCACATCAGCATCAACAATATATGGCAGCCATTGCACCTGTAGCGGGCATGGTTTATCCGCCACCACCACCGCCAGCGCGCCCGGGTTTCGTGCCTTCAGTCGGCGGTTTCGCTACACCGCCACCGCATGCAGCCAGCTTTACGCAAAGCGCACCAGCTACAGCAGCGGCATCGGCCGCTTATACGCCACCACATTTTCCACCAACGGTTTCACACTATGGTTTTCAATATGGCGCCTTGCCAGCGTCCTCAAGCCCTTTTTACACAGGTACACAGGCAGCTTCAATGCCTTTAGCTAAGTCGCAGTCGGCAGTAGCAGCGATTGTACCAAATGGCAGTGGTGCTGCTACAACTGGTGCTCGTCGCCTCAGCAAAGCGCAACGCACAGGCAACGATCTGATTGATCTGAGTCAGGAGGATGAGTATGTTTGCATGTGCTTGGAGATAATTGTATATTTGGGAAATCAATTTTATCTTCTCTTGCTTTGTAGTTCGCGTGTTAGTGTTTTGGAGGCATTCGATCCTTTGCTGAATGTGGAAGGTGAAGGTAAGCGCTGCAACATAACTCACTTTATTTAACCATCTAAAGCTCTCTTAGTTTCCTTCAAAATATTTGTTTGTACTCCTTCTCGAGCTTATAAAATATTCAATTTTCCCCGCGATTGGCGTAAATTCAAGTTCCAATCCTTTCCGTTTAGTGAGCATTTGGCAATTGTGCTTGCTTATATCGATGATCGATTTTTTTGAATTTCGTTAAGACGGCCCAAGCTTGAGACAAGAGAAAATTCTTAAAAATATTTATTGATATTTATTGATAAATATATTTAATAATTTCTCAGTTGACTTGATAACTTCCATAATTAGTCCCTGTATCCTTAAAGAAAAAAAATTTAATTAAGTAAAAAAATAAATATTCACTTTATTTATAAATAAAATAAAATTAAATAAATTAAAAAAATAAATTAATAAAAAATTAAATAAATAAAAAGTTAAATAAAAAAAAAATAAAATATAATATAATAAATTATAATATAATATAATATAATATAATATAATATAATATAATATAATATAATATAATATAATATAATATAATATAATATAATATAATATAATATAATATAATACAATAAAATAAAATAAAAGAAAAAAATGAGAGAAAAAACAAAGGAAAAAATAAGAGAAAAAATAAAAGAAAGAAATGGAGAAAAAAAATAAAAGCCAACAAAGGAAAAGAAATTAAAGTAAAAAAGAAAAATAATAAATAAAATTAAGAAAATAAAAATAAAATATAATTAAAAAAATAATCAAAATTAAATTAAATTAAATTGAATTATTTTAATCTATATTTCCACCTACGCCCGTGCTTAAATCCTATACTACTGCTACTTAGAAATTTATAATTCTATATACTAATGGGATAAATTTGCATAATTCATACCGAAAAACCAAAATTTCTTTTCATTTTAATTTTTCACATCTGTCTCACTAATTTCTCCAAATAGCATCTACACAATATTTTATTACTTCCATGTAAATACTTTCTCATGCTTTGTAAATAACACTCTTTCTCTTTCTGTATATTTGTCTTACTCACATACAAATATTGCATATTTTTATATTATTATTTTTATTTATTTCTCTATCTTCCAGTATTGAAAAAATAACCAACACATTTTATTGCAAGCAAACGCTTTACCACTACCACATATAATTAAAACGACTAATTTGAATTTTGAAATATATAGATATAAAAAAATAATATAAAAAGCATTAAAAGAGGGATTCAAGGAAGCTTATACGTATAAGATTAAGTAAAAAATTGAAAAATAATTAATTACAACCAAAAAATAGAAGATATTTATAGCTTATTATAAGGAAAAAGAAATATAATTTCATCTTAATGTGCTCAACAGTAACTGTGACAACGTTAACGAAACAAAAAAAAAATGATAAACAAAAAAGACAACCATGTCTGATGAACAATCAACAGCTTATACGTGGTTATATCGCTGTTGTAAAATATATACATACATTAAATGTTAAAATACGTGCACTTTTACATACACACTTTTAAAACTGTACGTTTTTTTGTTATTTTTTAATGTTATTTCTTTGAATTAGCTTTAAACTTTTTTTTGCAAACTTTCGTTGTGCATCTAAGATTTACTTTTTTGCGTGTAAATTAAAGCTCAAAAAATATATACTCCTGTGAAATATTTGGCCAAATGGTATGCATAAGATTTTATTACAAAATTTTGTGTGAGAAATTTTTTACTTCAAATTTTGGTTGCTTTTGCGCCTAAAAGATGCCATGAGATTAACGATTTGGCTGTAAAGTTCAGTTTTTTTTGTTATTTTTTTTTAATTTTTTATTATTTTATTATGGGGTAGGCGCGTTGAGTAGTGTTTGCATGATTGTTCAAAAGTCACCCATTCGTTTATATTTAGTTTAAATAATCCTTTTTATTTATTTATAATTTGACCTATTTTGTGCAAATAAAACTGTGTTAACGTAGTTCTCATTCTGTACTCTTTTTTTTACTTCAGACCCACTCATAGAGATCAAGTACAAATATTTTAGATACCATTTTTAGCTTTTAAAAACTTCCAATGAGAATAAAAGAATTCTTTAATACATTTATTCACTTAAAAAAGTCTTATAATCTTAATTTTCTCATATATTTTGAATTTCCAATATTTTTTCGTGCCCATCTTCAATGTAAATATGACATTTTACATATATGTATATTTACCATTCCTTTGACCATTGCCTACAAAAATACCAATTTAATTAAAACAAATTAAATCGAATTATTTGCCATTTTACTCATTTAAAATTTCCTACTAATTTCTCATTGAAAATATTTAAAACTATTTATTGTAGTTTGCTAAATTACCCTTCTGCTTGTTACTCTTCGTGAAAACCCCTAAAAATGTTTGCGTTGTAAAACACGCCCTTTATATTAAGTGAAATAAGTATTAATCATCTTCTGCGTCACAAATATGCAAATATGAAATGAAAAAATAAAATGCAATTCATTAAATTTCATTCATACAAAAAAAGTTTGCTTAAATAAAATAACAAGAATCAATTAAAAATCCTTTTTGGTTAGATCATTGCTATTTATATTGTAATTTTGCGCTCGATTTTGCATCATATTTTCCAAAAAAAAAAAAAAAATTATTAAATTACTTAAAAAATATATAAAATAAATTTAAAACAAAATTAACAAATATTTATGTTCTTTTCAATGAAAATTCATATTGTTAGCCGCTTTTATTTATAAATAAATTAAAAGAAAATAAATGAAATTTATATAAAACTATTTGTCTTGTCAAAATGTATTGTAAACGATTGTGTAATTTATTAGCATATTTAAAAAAAAAAAATGAAAAAACATGTGATTGATTATTAATTACACTAATTTGTTAAATGCGAATTTGTTCAATAAAGCGGCATATATTTGAAGCGTTGTTATAATTGCAATCACCTGCCGTCTACTGCAGCAGTTACTTTCTGCTTCTTTTGTTTTAGGTTATCGTTAAACGATAAGGCGATGGTGTGGTTGCAATTGTGCGCAGCGTTCAAAAAGTATGCAAAATATATAAACAAAGAAAAATTGTTGTTTCATTTCACATTGTGTACCATTGTGCGTGTGTTGTTTGTTGTAGGTATGAAGTCTTAGTATTTTCTAATGCGACGTGATAAGGAGAAAGTTTTTTTTATGTCTTTTGATTAATGTTATGCATACCTTTTGCCATAAAACTTTTACTTTTAATTTGATTTTTTTTTATCTTAATTGTCTTTTTTGATCATACTTAATGGACTCTTAATTTTTGTAAATTTAATAAAATAAAAATATAATTTTCAATAGCTTTTGGTCATATTTTTGTTGTAATATATGGTTCTTATTATTACATTAAAAAGAATATTTAAATACATATGCCAATCTTCTTAAAATACATTTAATTATTAATTGCATTGGATTACTCTCTTCCATTTGTTTTTTTTTATTTTATTTATTCAGTATTTTTTCTCTATAAGTGTATTTAGTTTTTTTTTTTTATGTTCTAAATGAGCTTATTTTTATTATTATTTTTAATCATTAATAAATAACACAAAGGTGTTTGTGCCATTTATTGTATGTAAACATAGCATGTGGTTGTTGTTAGCTGAGTCAGCTGTTGATTTTACGTTGATAACGGTAATTTTTATTGTTATTATTTTTTTTTTTTGTTGGTATAAATTCCAAATTTAGCACGGGGTTAATCTTATCTGTCAACACATATAGGCGTTGGTATAACGGTGTGCTTCTATATCAGTTATAACATCTGTATATGCATATATGGGTATTATTTTGACTAGCCATCAGCTTTTAGATACTTTTAAGTCCTTGGAAAGTATTTACTTTGGTGTGACTGTGCGGCAGTTCTTCCACTTTTCAGCTAAGTGAAACTCTTTGGAGCTCAATTTGTTATTTTGTCCGAATTCGGGGAGTTGTACAATTAAAAATAGCTGAAAAAAGTGAGAAAACAATAATACTTTACGTTTATTAAATATTGAAACTCTTCTTACCGCCTAAAAGTATACTCCACATTTTTATGGCGCTTAATTTCGAAAAAAAAAATTTCAGATACACGTTTTTGTTTTTACTTTTTAGAAAATATTTTTTTTTTTTTTTGTCACTCTCTCTCTTACGCTAATACCTGAACAAATCACACTGTCAACTTGTCTTGTTGTGCGTATTATCGTTTGAGATCACCGAATGAAATTTCTTATGGCCACTCAATAATCTTTTCGCCAGCACTTATCACTAATACTTGCGACGATAAAGATATGACGCAGCTGATCAACACTTTCACCGTTCGACAGAACGATTAGCACAGTTGTGTTATAATTAACGAGCGTTAAGTGTGTGCTACTTTATACATACATTAATAAATATAATATGTATAACATGTTATAGTTGAAATTTCGTTTAAAATTATTTGAAAATATACATACATATGTGTATGTACATATGCAGTTTTATTTTTTGAACTGCTCTTATTTTATTGTATTGCTTGTAGATTAATACTTTTGAACAGTTGTGTTTAAAATTAATTCCTATTTTTTTCTGTTTTACTCAATACGCCTGATTTCATTAAAATTTTATTTATTTTATTTAACTTCAATTTAACTTTATTTTATTATTTTTGTTTTATTCTATTTTATTGTATTACAATTTTTATTTATTTTTTTTTGTTGAAGCTAAAGGAAGATTATTATTCTATTTTTTAATTTACCTCAATTTAAAATACTTCATTTCATTTAATTTTATTTACTTTTTCATGTTAATTTAATTTTTATTTTATTATATTTTTTTAAAACTTTACTTTAGTTTATTTATTTTATGTAAAGTTTTTTCTTATTTTCTAATCTTATTACACTTTCTTTAAAATCTTGATTTTTTTATTTAATTTTTTAATTTCATTTAAATTTGTTTTATTTTTTATTTATCTTTTCATTTTGTTTTGTTTTGTTTTCTATTTAATTTTAAATTCATTTTTTTTTTTCAATTTAATAAATTTGCTTTCAATGTAATATTCATTTCATTTCCTTTTTCGTTCTTCGTTCCACTTTAAATAGTTTAATTTTTATTTTGCTTTATTTCAATTTATTTAATTATTTTTATTTTTGCTTTTGTTACTTTTTGCTTTATTTATTAGTTTTTTTTTTATTTAACTAATTTTTTTTTATTTCAAATTTATTTTATTTCGTGCCATTATATTTAATGGATTTAATTTAATTTTTTTTTTATTTAATTTAATTTTTTAACTTTTAACTTTAAATTTATTTATTTTTTTTTCAATGTAATAAATTTGCTTTCAATGTAATATTCATTTCATTTCCTTTTTCGTTCTTCGTTCCACTTTACATAGTTTAATTTTTATTTTGCTTTATTTAATTATTTTTATTTTTTGCTTTTGTTACTTTTTGTTTTATTTACTTGTTTTTTTTTATTTAGCTCATTTTTTTTGAATAAATTTTCATTTCAAATTTATTTTATTTCGTGCCATTATATTTAATGGATTTAATTTAATTTATTTTTTTATTTATTTTTTTTTTACATAATTTAGTTTTATTTAATTAATTTTATTTTAATATTATGGCTTTTTATTTTATATAATTTTATTTCCTATTATTTATTTTTCTGTATTTTATTTTATTTTGTTTTTATTTTATTTTATTTTTATTTATTTCATTTTATATTATTTTTTATTGTATTAAATTATTTAATTTTATTATATATTTATACTTTTTTATTATTTTATATTATTTAATTTTATTTTATATTATTTTATTTTTATAATTTTATTTAATTTTATTTTATTTCATTAACATTTATTTTTATTTCTTAGTCTCTTTCTATTTGGTATGCAAATCTGAATTTCATCTCTTTCAAACAAGTTCACGCTCACACATCCACTTCTTCTCACCTCTTCGTTCATAATCTGTCTGCCAATTTTAATCGAATTATTCGGCGCATCTGAAATCTCAAAATGTTCTGCTGCTGTGTAGCATTAATTTTAGGTACTTGTAAATGTTTCTGTGACACCGTTGTAAACACCACAAAATGTTTTACTTATCGACGGTCTATATGTATATCTTGTTTTTGTGATTGCTATTTCTACTAGTTCTATTATTAAAAAAATATATATTTTGATATTTTTTCATAGTTTTCATACATGTCTGGCCGGTCATTCTCATTTTCGTCGTCTCCCGGCCAAGCGCAAAATTATATACTATATGAATTTGCGATTTTATTTTTTATTTTTATAGCACTCAGCTGGTTTTGAATACTAGACATAAAACAAAAACAAAATATGATTTGTTAAACCGTTGGCGGTAGTTTATTATAATTAATTTACGCCAATGTGATTCGCCGCAGTTTCTGTAATTTTTTTATTTGATTTTTTGTGAAAGTGAAAATTTCGCGTATAACAAGTTAGTGTCTAATTTGTGTGAATATAAAACGATGTATTCACTGCTTACAGGTTGCGACGATGACTCGGATTGTACTTCCTATTATGCGGAATACGATCCATTTGATTATCTCTATAGTGGTGGTGGTACACAGTATTCGGATCCCGTTTACGAGGCGGTGAATAAGTTGGAGAAGAGTGCGGTCAGTCCAAATGGTGAGTGAAATGACATTTTATTTTACAGAAAAAAAGTTAATCACATTTTTGTTCTACCTCTATATACATATATACATATATATAGTCTCTTCAATTGGATGGCGTACAGATTACCTCAGTCGCGATGATGTGCTCAACAGCGTTGCCGCCACCACCACCAGTAGTAGTGTCAGTCCTACACACTTTCTGCCCGGCGATCATTCACCCAGCGGTTCACGTTCACCACCACCGCCGTTGCCGCCGCGCAATAGTGGTTCACGTTCGCCACCATTTCCTCACTCTGGACTCTATCCCACGCTTAGGCGTGATAACAGTTTTGAAAGTAGCACAAGTACGGGCATTAGTAGTAGTGCAGCTGCTGGCAGCTCACACGCCACTGCGAGTCCATTTGGGCGTCCCAGTGCTGCAACGCTGGATCGGCGAAAAACCAATGGCACACGTTTGTATGAAGTTGTCACCGATCGTCGCACCGTTGATTCGGAGTTATTGGAATTCTTTTTCATGGTCAAAGAGTTACGTATGCGTTATTTATATAATGATACACAAACAAATCCGGGTCATGTAATTGCATCTGAGTTTAATTATCATTATCCGCTGGAGACGAGCATTAAGATTTTAGTGCATCCCGCTTTGAAGGCGCTGCTGCCAAGTGCGGAGATGGCGGCTCGTACGCAGGGTCAGGTGAAAGGTTATGGTGTGCCGGTGGTGTTTACATGTGATAGTGAGTGGAAGTCGGTTCTTGTTGGTGGATGAATATTCCTAAATCTTGGCTTTTCTATTTTCTAGTTAATACGGCTGTTGAATTAGTCATTGATCAGGCATTTTGCTCCCTAGAAGGCCAAATAAAAGGCACACCAAATGATTATGTAGTGAAGGTGAGTTGATGTGTTAGATATCAAAAGTTTGAAAAATTACTGGGGGCGGTTTGGTCCTCTTTGATTCTTTCACTTTTTCCAATTAATATTAATTATGTCGTTTTATCTGTCAGCCTATTGGTGTCTCTGAGTGGCTTTCACCCTCATCGAAGCTTAGTCAACTGGAGTGTGTACATAATAGTTTGAAACTGGAGCAGGATGTCCAGTTGGGCCTCTGCGTGAAGTCCGAAGAGAATATGCAAGTCATAGCGCGTACACAAGGTGACGATTCACGTGACACGGACTTACGTGCTGAGGATATATTGCCAAATGAAATGGCAGCCACCATTAATTACGATAATATGATGATATTAATAGGTATGTGCTTGTGTGTAAATTACATTTTGATTTTTAATTTTCAAAAAAAAAAAATTTTTTTTTTCTTATTTATTATTATTATTTTTTTACTAATATATTATTATTATTATTATTTTTAATCAATTTATCACATTATTATCAATACTACTTTTCTCTCCATCAAACAGAAACGCTCGAAACCGAGATAGACAAGCTGGAATGTGCCGATCCGAATTCACGTTCCATACTCTCCTGCTCTGGCGTTGTACAGGCCGTCAAAGCTATTTGTGCACTACTCGGCTCTATAGACACACTTGAAATCTCTGCCTGCATTGCTGATCTCAAACGTATTTGCGAAGAAGGACAAGTAAAGTATGCATCACACTCGACGGAAACGAATCCGGAGATTGTCAGTGAGCGTGGTGACTATGCAGAGGTGCGTTTAGTGCCGCGCCCCATGCTCGATCAGATAAAGCTGAAATGTAATCAGTTGCGTGATGCCGTGCAAGAGCTGATTGAGCTCTATTCGAATGTATTTCGTGTGGGTTTCTCCGTCAAATCATTGGATTATTCGACGAGTGAGTCTTTCATGAGTAATTTTAATTAAAATTTTTACTAAAATATTGTTATTTCAAACCCTACAGCTCCCATGCCCATTTCGTGTGTATTAAAGCCGATAGTTGTTAGCATCAATTGCCTGCATCGACCGCCGCCCACTTGGCGTTATGACGATTATTCGTTGGGCGTGCAAATCGTTTATGGCACGCGTTTTGTATCTGATCCGATTGTCACGAAGTGTTCGAACGATATGAGCGGCGGTCTATTCCCACGTTTGAATTTCTCTTCATGGCTTACCTTTGAGAAGAATCCAATTTGTACGTTGCCGCGTGAAGCACGTCTCATATTCGTACTATATGGTACACAAACGGCCGAGAATGAGCAGAATACCGATGCAAATGGCGAGAGACGACAAGTGCCCACCGAACTGGGTTGGTGCGCCATACAGTTGTTTGATCAGAAACGTGAAATGATTTGTGGTTCCTATTTGCTCTCCATGTGGCCACCAACAACGGATAAGTTTTTGGGTCCTGCACCCGCGCGTGGCTGTCATCCACAACCCGACATCTGCCCGGTGTTGAGCATAGAAGTACCACCATATGGTGGCCGCATAATGTTTCCTGAGCCTGTAGAGCAACCTGCGCCAGCGCCACGTTATGACTTCAACTCGCTGGATGCGAACTTGCAACAAGACCTACTTGATACCGCCGAGCAGGGGTACTCAGGCGCCAAGGACAAACGTGAAGTTTTTTGGGAGAAACGTTTATATTTGCAAAGTTTCCCTTACGCACTGCCTAAAGTACTGCACGCCGCACATAGTTGGGATTATGCTAGTCTCATAGATCTACATTCATTACTGCATTCATGGACGCCACTTTCACCATTGCAAGCGCTCGAGCTGCTCTTACCGCGCTATCCCGACGCGAAGGTGCGTGAGAGGGCCGTTGAGTGGATATCCCACTTGCCCAATGATCAGCTCGTCGACTATCTACCGCAATTACTGCAAGCTCTGAAGCACGACACCTACGAAGCTTCGGCTATGGCACGTTTCCTGCTCTGCAAGTGTTTGGAATCGCCACGAATTGCTCATCACATGTACTGGTTGCTGGTACACAGTTTGCCTGGTGATGATCCGCAGAACTCTATCGATGCTTCGTCTGTAGCGAATGAATTTGATGAGTCGCTAATAACTCAAGCTCGCTACTATAGACGAAACAAGATGATGCTGCGTGCGTTGTTGGCAATTTGTGGTGAGAAGCTGTTGGCGCGTTTTCTTAGCCAGAATATGATGTGCAAGGTAAGTGTGAGGAAAAAGTGGGAGAGGAAGAAGTAGGTTTTTTTGCGGGTTAGAAGGAGAGGATATTTTTGGAAAAGGAAGTTGTAGAGAAAGTAGGGACAGTAGGGAGAGATTTTGTGCTGGGGAAACTGCGGAACTCAGGAAAGGAGAAAGAAGAAGAAGAAAGAGAGAGAGAAAGAAAGAGAAAAAGAAAGAGTAAGAAATAGAGATGGAAAGAGATAGAGAGGAAAGAGCGAGACAAAGAAAAAGAGACAGACGCAGCGAGAAAGAGAGAGAGAGAGCTTTTGGAAAAATTCATTTATGAAAATGAAAAAAAAAAAATTATCTTCAACAGAGTCTTGCGCGCCTTGCCGAATCTGTGAAGGAAGCTAAAGAATCACTGCGGCAAAAAACACTTTGTTTTGGCATGGAAACTGTACATCAACAGTTGGGTGACAAGCCCACTTCATTGCCGCTGGGTCCTGAATTGGAAGTGACCGGTGTTAACGTGCGTAGTTGTAGTTATTTCAACTCCAACACACTGCCATTGAAAATCTCCTACATCGGTTCTGATGGCGAAATATTACCGGCGATTTTTAAGGTTAGTTTTGTGGGCTCTACACTGTAAGGTTTCTTATTTACGAGTTTTTTTCTTCCTCTAGTCCGGTGACGACTTACAACAGGACATGCTTACCATACAACTCATACGCGTTATGAATAAAATGTGGTTGGCTGAGGGGTTGGATTTAAAAATGGTCACATTCAACTGTGTGCCAACGGGCTTTAAAAAGGGCATGATCGAGTTGGTCTCTGATGCGGAAACATTGCGTAAAATACAAGTTGAGTATGGTTTGACCGGTTCGTTTAAGGATCGTCCGATTGCCGAATGGTTGGCCAAACAAAATCCTAGTCAGCTGGAGTATCAGCGTGCGGTAAAGAATTTTACAGGTGAGTGTGTCAAAAAGATAGAAAAAACATAAGTCAAATTTATTTCACGCATTTGAAATAAAATACATATTTTTTCTACACATCTCGTCTAGTTTCTTGCGCCGGCTACAGCGTTGCGACTTATATACTCGGCATTTGTGATCGTCATAATGACAATATCATGTTAAAGACATCTGGTCATCTCTTTCATATAGATTTTGGTAAATTTCTTGGTGATGCCCAAATGTTTGGCAACTTCAAAAGGTAAACTTTCTTTTTATACATACATCTGTCCGAAAGTTTATCCCTATGTATTCTCTAAATCGCACAGGGACCGCACACCCTTCGTACTCACCTCCGACATGGCGTACGTGATTAATGGCGGCGATAAACCCTCAACAGATTTTCATTATTTCGTCGATTTGTGTTGTCGCGCTTTCAATATTATACGCAAACATGGTGATCTCATTCTACATATGCTCGCACTCATGGCCACTGCCGGCATACCCGGTGTCACAGCGGATGCGGTGACTTATGTGCGTGGCGCTTTGCTGCCTGAGCAATCAAATCCGGAAGCTGCCGCTTCATTTGCTAAAATGATACAATTTTCACTCAAAAGCTGGTTCACACAATTCAATTTCTTTTTGCACAATTTGGCACAAATGCGGTTCAGTAATGATGAGGGTAGTGGCGAGTTGTTGTCCTTCGTGCCTCGGAAGTATACGTGAGTCATATTTCTATACTTTTTTTTTTTTTTTTTTTTTGAAAGTTTACGTAATTTCATTTCTTTCTCAATTCAACAGCATGCAACAGGATGGCCGGCTGAAGAGTGTAATGGTCGTACGGTGTCAGAAACATTATGATACGGAAAAGTATTACACATATATTCTGCGTGTAACGCGTCACGGTCAAACAGATCCTACACATTTATTCCGCTCTTATAAGGAGTTTACGGAGTTTCATCAGAAATTGTGCTTGCATTTTCCGCTAGCGAAATTGCATAGGTAAGTGTGGGCGGATTTTAAGAATCATAACAGGGGATGGGTGTGTGTAGAGTAATGTACTAAAAAATATTTGAATATCAAGTGATAATTTTATAGAACCGGGGATACGCTTTTCTAGAACCGCATACCTCAGAAATTCCGTATTTAATACCTGATTCTGGCGAATATCAGTTTATATGCCTTCGGATATTCACATAATGGCTGTGCTTTACCCCCTCTTAATGAGTAATACCCTTTAAGAGTAGGAATCTCAAGGTATTAAAATCTTTTCACTAGAGGGGAAGTACAATCATCCATAGAAGAATTTACTTCTCATCTCACATTGTTCAATACCCGGTTTGTGGCATTCGAATATATACATTTTGGTTGTCCCTTATTGCCTCTCCCTAGGAAAAAAACTCTAAAAGTTGGTAGCTCGCAGTACAAAGATATTTTGATGAGAGCGGACCCGAAGTCGCTCTTAGCACGAAATTTTTCCTCATCCCACATTGTTCATTATCCGGTTGGATGCTTCGAGTATGTACATGGTTGGTTGTTTTTAATGTCCCTTACTAAGAAAAAACCTTCAAAAGTTAGGACCTCTCGGTATTAATTCCTTTTGAAGACAGGGAAACGAAATCACGCTCAGAAGGAAGTTTTTCCTCAACTCCCACTGTGGATTGTGCAAAAACGTTCCAACCTTAAATGGGCTTGCAGTTGCCTTAAGAACCAACTACGGATAGTTTGGGAAACGGAATATCTCCGAACTTAGCGACTAAGATCTAACCAGCAATCCAAGCCAAAATTTAAATTTTTCAAATTTAAATGTAATAACTTTATTTCGCTTAAAAGTTAAATATATATATATTTTTTTTTTGGCACATTTTATGTATTTGTAAAAGCTAACTTTGGTTCAACTACATTTAATACTTCTCCATCTTGAGCTAGCCTCTGCGTCATTTTGTCCTCCACTCAACTTTCTTTCGCCTTTCGCCAGCTTTTTCGATGGTACCTACTCTTAAGCCTCCGTGGAATTGTAATAGCTTTGGTCAAAGTATTGGTGACGCGCTGCAGCATGCGGCTGAAATGTACTTTGTGGTTGCGATTGCGTGACTATGCGCTCCTCTGTTAACGTAATACTTCTAACCGTCGTCGTTTGTGCCAGCGGATTACGGTCGGCAGGTTTTGGGGGCTCCGCTACACTAATAACTGTTGATTGTGTAGACTCTGTTGATGTAGACGTCGCTTGTTTTATCGCTGTCCAACTGCCATTTATGTCTGACTCGGCTACCTGTAGTGCAACCTGTGCACTAAAAGGCAACGGACCTGGTGCTTGTGATAAGGTAGGGGAAGTACCTCGTAATCCAGCGGGCGTACTGTCATACGTTTCAGCAGCGTAATGGATTTTGGTAATGCGTTGCATGGGTGTGGGGAAACTAGTAGTGGGGACAGGCTCATCCTCTTCAACCGAATCGCTATCATTAGCGGCGTGTTTCGAAATTGTCGAGAATTTTGTTACTGCCTCTTGTTCTTTTTCCTCCACACCGTATGAGGTTTGATAGTATTCGGTATTACTGAAGTCGAATGTAACCTTCTGACGCGGACGTGGACGTACACGAGTTTGTGTACCGTCTTTGGTGTTTGGTGGCTCTTCTGCTGGTTCAAAAATACTTTCTTTATTATGCTCGTGCACATAATCGTCTTCTAAGTTAGTTATTTCTGTATGCACATAAGCCGTTGGTCGACGTTGTTTTAGAGATCGCGCTGGTATAGCATAGAGCTCGTTATCTTCATTCACAAAATCAACGTTACTCGTGGTGTGGTACGGTGATGTAGGCACATCTTCGTCCTCGTCCTCGATATTCGAGAGTTCGCGTTGCAGCTTGACATTATTGGGCACAAAACCAGTTGGGCGACGTTCTATGCGTAACGGGGACTGGTTTTCATAGGCGTCTTCTAAATCAGATAAATTGAACTGCACGACGGACTTGGCGGTGTTGTCGCTTGGTTTTGACTTGTCTGCTCTTAAGTTTTCAAAGCTCTCCCAATCCTCTTCGATGTTTTTGCCGAAACCCACTGGCTCGGGTGTTGTTATTAGTGCTTGTTCGGGTACGCGTTTTAAATTACTGTTGCTCTCAAGAAATGCTGCCTCGTTCTCTTCGTACGAGTGGCGTATTTTGTCGAATTCTTCTTCAATATTTCTTGTAAAATCTCGATTCAGTTCCACTTCCTTTTCTATCTCAAGCCAAAGATGTTTCTCACGTTCGTCTTGTTTAATATTCGCCTCCAGCTCATCCCACAAGTGCTCAGGCTGTAAGGTCTGTGCGTACCCGGTGGGTCTACGCATTTTCAAAGTAGTTCTTTCCTCTTCTGGCTCCCAAGGTGAAGTCGTTTGCTGCACACTATGTTCTGGGTCAGCAAATTTACCTTCAAGATTTTTTGTGGCCTCTACGTGTAGCGGCTGCGGCTCCTTATGCACATTTTCCGCGGTTTCATATGCGGTAAAACTGCAGTTAGCTACTGTCGCAGATTTCATTAGTGATTTTCCTTTAAAGCCGTCCAACTCATCTGCAAACTCTTCATCGCTGGTAAAATTCATGCTCGTTTGCGATTCTGGAGAATCTTGTTTGTCCGGCAAACGTTCTCCCTGCCAACTTTGTCGCACTGCCGTACTAGCACCAGTATTGACGTCCAAATGGGTTGTTGGCTCACCATCAGCCACCGTACGTAACTCGACTTCACTCACGCGATTTAGATGATCATAAGTGTGTCCATGCATAGCTTCATAGTCTGTACGGTCAGCGCTTTGAAATGATAGTGGGCTATCTGCACTCAAGCCCGATTGCAAAGAATTCCATTTATTGCGAAAATCTGACAAGCCTTCAGCATCGATCTCTTCGTACTTGATATAGCCGGTGGGCCGACGTTCACCGAATTCTTCAATGCTAAGCGAATGCGCTGTGTGCAGGGTGGACTTCCGGCCCAACAAGCCACTATGTACAGGTTCCTCGTCGGGTCTAAAATAGCCCGTTGCACGTCGTTCATTCAGCTTTTCTTGTGAACGGTTTATGAACTCTGTAGATGTTGACTTAGTTTTCACAAATTTACGCATGCCCACTGCCAGCTTTTCTTCGTTATACGAGCTCCGATTGAAACGTTTCGGCGGCTGAGGAGGGATTAATTCTTGCTTACGTCGTATGCTTTCTACTGAATCTGCACTCAACTCCTGTGCTTTTGTCTCCTCCAACTGCATTTGTCTATACCTCAGCTCCAATTCATCGAAGGTGGGCATTTCTTCTATAAGGCTTATTGTGGGCGTATGATGTGGCGGTGTTAGAGAGTTGATTGGCGGACATGGCGCTTCTCGTGTTGGTGGAGACGGTGAATCGATTGGTGGACGTGGTGGCTCACGAGTAGGCGGATCGATTTCTTCATAGATTGCACTGCGAACTTTCTCCTGCCGGCGAGTTGGGGGGATAAGAAAGAGAGAAGGTGTGCTTTGAGAGAGATTACGTATACGAACGGCTGGGAATGGAGAGAGAAGAAAAAATTTAATCAAGCTGAATTAGTTAACAAATAAAATAAAACTGTGAATAAATAAAATTAAATGACAGAAATAAAGAATTGAAAATAATGAAAAAAATAAATTAAATAAAATAAAATTAAATAATTAAAAAATTAAATTTAATGAAATAAATAAATGAAAAAAAAAATAAAATTAAATTAATGGAATTGAAAAAAAAATTAATTATAAAATAAATAAATTAATAAATAAATACAATAAAATAAAATAAAGAACAAAATAAAGTAAAATAAAATAAAATAAAAAAATTACATGAAGTAAAATAAAATTAAAACAAGTCAAAATAATAATGGAAAAGTAAGAATAAAGAGCAAAACGTGAAAAATGAAAAATTAGATTTTAATGTAGCATGAAAAAATGTGTCATATGGGTTGATCATGTCATGTACTACCATACATAAATTTATGTTTTTTTTCATTAATGTGCACTCACGCGGCAATTGCTTTGTTGGCACAATATCCAAATCATCCTCTTGTCGTCGGCGAAAAACGCCATGCACCTCAACAGGTTCATGTATCTAAATGAAAGAGCAAAAAACAATAAAAAATTATATGTAAATCGGGCTGCGAAAAAAATAATAATGAGAAGCAAACAAAAATCTGAGTAATACAATTCTATATGCATAATAAAAAAAATTAAAAAAAAAAAAAACTAAAAATAAAATGATATTAACCGTAAAGTGTTTGCTAAACGCCGCTGCTGCTACTACTGATAAGCGAAACCAATCAACGTAATAGGTATATTCGCATTTTTATTGTTTTTGTAAGATAGTGCGGAACAGCAGTCTAAACACATGTTAGGTGCAACATATGTATGTACATCTGTGTGTATGACATGTTGCCTATTGTCTGCTTACCCTACATATAAGTATTATTCATTGTTCGAGCTACATACTCACACACACACATAGACGGTTACATTCATTAATTTGCTTTAATATTAAAATCAAAGTGCGTTCCAACTTCATTTTCGCCATCACGCATTTATTTCAATTCGGCATGAGGAAGAGTAAATTTTTCTATCCAGTATTGCGTATTTTATAAATATGTGTGTGTATAGATGTGTCGTAGTTTGTATCATATACACCCGTGTAGCGAACAATTAATTGGCAAAATGAAAACATTCAATAAAATCTGTTTTGCTCAGTTTCGCCTTTCATTATCTGCGCTTAAGTGGTAGGCAAGAAAAAGGGGAAGGCTTTGATTTTTTCGATGCGTCAGACGACTGAAGAAAAAAATTGATATTAATAGGATATCATTTATCATACTTATATGTACTTTATTTTATTTTTTTATTCTTCTTTAATATTTTTTTCTATTTCTTTTGCCATATTTTATTTCATTTTGCTTTAGTTTTTTGGTATTTTATTTAAAAAAAAAACTTATTTTTTTATTATTTTTTTTTATTTTAAATGTTGTAGTTATTTTTATTTTATTTAAATTTATTTTTTTATCACTTTACCTTCCTTTTTGTTTAATTTAATTTAATTAATTTCTATTTTATTTTTATTTTTTTATTATTAAAGTAAATTAAATTAATTATTTATTTTACTTTAATTTAATTTACTTTAATATATTTTATTTTAATATTAATATTTTTTTAATTTATTTTTTTTTATTTTGTTTTATTTTTTCTATTTTGCTCTTATTTTGTTGTACTTTATTTTATTTTATTACAAGTTTATTTAAATTTATTTTGATAAATTTATATTGCTTAATTTTTTTTCTGTTAAATTCTATTTAAATTTAATTTATTTTATTGTTTTTAATTGATTAAATTTAATTTGTTTATATTCCTTAAATATTATAATTTTTTATAATTCATTTATTATATATTATTTTACTTTTTTCTATTTAATTTAATATAAATGTTTTATAAATTGATTTTTTTTTTCTGTCAAATTTTATTTTATTTTAATTTAATTTACTATTGGTATTTTATTTTATTTATTGATTTCTACCTTAACTTGTTCATTTTTTATTTTGCTTTAATTTATTTAATTTTTATCCCTTTATTTTTGTTTTATTTTATAAATCTATTTTATATTTTATTTTATATCATTTCTTTTAAATATTTTTTTTTCTACTTTTTCTGTTAATTTTTTTCATTTTAATTTAATATATTTTACAGTAGTTTGTTTTAATTTTAATAATATTGATTTTCTTTTTCTTTTTTTCTTTCAAATTTAATTGAATTTTGTTAATTTTTTATTTTATTTAACTTTGTTTGAACCTTCAATATTCTATTATATTTGACTTTGCTCATTTTATTTTATTTTGTTTCCTTAAATTTAATTTTTTGCCATTTTATTTTAGTTAATTTTGCAAATATATTTTTATTTTCTAATTTTAAATAATTTTTTTTTATTTGAAGACACTTTATTTTTTATTGTATTTCAATTATTTGTATTTCAATTATTTGTATTTTTCATTTTATTTCATTTATATTCCTTTTTCTGCTTTTTAATAATTTCTTGTGTTATTTTACTATTATTTGTATCACCATCTTTTTATATTTGATCGTTATTCGTTATCGGCATGGCATTATTTGAGTTTATAGCCTATTTATCAATCGTGATATATCATTGGATAGTTTATGTGCGGCTAATTAGTGCTTGTTGTAAGTGTAGGGCGTTTGTTGTTGTTGTTTTTTTAGCTATACATAAAGTTGACGCTCTTGACATCTTTTTTATAAATATAAAGCAGTCATCTAAAAATATATATAATATATATGCTAAAAAGGAGCTCTGAAATGACTATTCTTACTCTGTAACAAAATTTGCCCATTCATCATATCCTTTTACTTCCCACGAAGAAGCTTTCCCGACAAACCCTGCCGCATTCTCTAAATAATGATCACTGTGGGAACTGTTCTCCAAAGCACTCTGGAACCATTTTACCAAGTTCCAACTCTATTTTTGTTTTCTACTTATAATTATTAAAGCATCTTTTTATCACAAAATTACCGAATCACTTTATTGTTTATCAATATAAATTCGAATTGGTCTACTTTTCAATATTTGAAAATTCATTCTATGATTATGAAGAAGTTCTATTAATGCAACATAAAATACCGAACATATATGAAGTGTGGTAATAGCATAATTTGTTGATTGCGCATGATTTTCATTATTTACTACCGCCTGTTGAAGGGGTAGAAAGCTGCGATAAGTTAGGTGAAGGAATCAAAATATCACTAGTCTGTCAGTAATGCAATCTCATAACTGTCAAATGAGTAAATAAACCAAATGCAAGCATTGAAATATGTATGTAAAAAGTGACTTAGAGATTTTATAAAACCCCGCATAGAACATGCAGTTTCGTAACTACGAAACTGAGGCCTTAAACGCAAACAATTCAATACCGAAAAATTGCACGTGTATAGGTTCCTCAAACTACATTAAAATACCGTGCTCATAACAAACACCAGCGAAGAAATCCAAAGCAAAGCTTTGAATAATTTTTACACTAACTGCAATATGCACTCGTATAAGTATTCGTCAACATATTGATTTTTTGCGTATAATTTCACTAACTGCATTCACTCGTTACCTCTTGCGACATGCGTTTATCCCGGTTTCTACGCGTACGTAATGGCACGGTGGGCGTGGCACCGCCTGCAGCGCCATTACTCGTGCGGCCGTGCTCGAAGGTGAGACGATGTTTGAACCACCAAATTTTTATGCCCACCAATGTTGTGATCATGCATATGAATATGCCTACATATGCCAGCATGGCAAAGAGCCCATCAGCGGCACCTGCTGATTGATAAATTCAGTTTTAGTTTTTGTTGGTTTTGTTTTGTTTTTGTAAGTGTTGATAATGCAAATGAAATATGTGTGCCCACCTGCGCTGCCGTCAAGCCGAATTGTGTCAAACTCTTTTAATTTCGCCATAATTTTGTTAAAAATTTTTCTTCTTTCTGCATATATTTTGTTGCCGAAAAATATGTAAATATTTCAAATTATGTATATATGTATATTTTTCTTGAAATTTTATTGAGTTTGGAGCATTTTTGAGCACTTTTTGTTTAGTTATGTTTAAGCGTGTGTAACATTTTTTAAACTTATTTGTCTTCTCGAGCGCAGCAAATTTTGTCGATTGTTTTTTTTTTTTAGTTATTTTACGCTCACGATTTAAATATAAGTATCGCTTTGTTATCTCTCCGAGTGTTTTGTGTTTTCTTTTTTACTTGTTGTACGCGGTGATATCTAAAAAATCAATTATAATTTGTTCTTGTTTGTGTGATTATACTTTTTTCAATATATTTTTTTTATTCGTTTTTTTTTATCAAAATTTCTTTTAGTATTTTAGTTTTTTTTTATTTGCTATATCACATTTACTTCTCTACCGCTTTGGGCCGCGACGTGTCCGCTTCGTACGCGTTTATCAAATCGAATGACAAGAAAGCTTTAGAGCTGACTGTCTCGTCTAGCTGGCTCTTTGGTTGGCTTGTTGCCTGTTAACTGCTGTTTTGGCAGGCAATAACAATAGCAACAGCATGTGTAAATTACTGAGCGTCAATTGTTTTTACTTTTATCACAACCAGAATTATTTAATAAAAAAAGTTTGCTTTTGTTTTTACTATTTTATTCTTAGGCTATAATTTCGTATTCGTACCACTCATACATAAACTGATTTGAAAGCTTTGTGGTGTTTCGTGGAACGATGATCAATTTCGAATGTGGCAGAAATATATTTTTCTGCCTTTTTTGTATTTAATTTAATTTAATTTAATATTAATTTTTTTTTTTAATAATTTTTTACTTTATTTTTTTTATCTTTTATTTTATTTTTGTTTCATTTTGCTTTTTTTATTTTATGCATTTTGCTTTTTTTATTTTATTTACTCTTTCTTAATTTGATTTTATTTTATTTCATATTTTTTTTTATTTATATTAATTTATTATTTTTGGTTTGAATTATTTTAGTTTAGTTATTTCATTTAAATTTACTTTATATTTATTATTTATCTTATTTTATTTTTAAAAATACTTTATTTTACTTAATTTAAATAATTCATTCTATTTTTTATATATTTACTTTTATTTAATTTAATTTAAATATTTTAGCTTAATGTAATTAATTTTTTTATCTTAAATTATGTTGATTTAATTTAATTTTATTAATTAATTAATTTTTTATGTTATTTAATTTAATTTTTTGGATTTAATTTTATTTAGTTTAATTTATTTTATTTGATTTAATTTATTTTATTTGATTTAATTTTATGTTTTTTTTTTACCTTATTTTTTTGATTTTAACATTTATTTATTCTTCCGTTTGCCATAATCAGTAAAGACACTCCTCTCTTCCACAAAATCAATGCCAACGCCTTTTCATGCGCCCTGCGTTTACCCAAACACCTGTTTCGGCTCTCCTCATCAACTTGTTAAGTCAGCTCACGCTCTGTTCATTATGTATAGCATTTGTGAAACGCCTTAATTAGTTCAATTGGAGTAGAAAATTTAATCATTAGTATTTTTATTAGATAATTTACTTTGTGCTGTGTTTTTGTCTACCATTTTCGCTCTCTCTTTCATTTTTGTGGCGTAGGCCGGTTAACTTATTGATAATTTCTTCTTCTTCTACTTTGCTTTGACACCCCCTCTTCGTTGTAAAATTTAGCTTAGCTTTTTAGCTTTTTTTTTGTAATAATGGTATTTTTTATCAATTCTTTTCTTTGTAGCTTACCCAGTGGTATGCATGTTGGCCGCTCCAACGTCAAATCGGTTGCGGAACGTCGTCTCCCACAAATACAACGTTTTCTCATATCACTCTTCAATTCAGCGGATGAAATTGCACACTCAGATTTGGTGTATACATTCTTCCATCCCTTGTTGCGCGATCAGCAGGAGGCCAAGTTGACGGTGTCTAAAGTAAAAGGTAAGTCGAGTCGAGTTCGCTGTTTAAGTTTTTATTTAGTGATAAGCGAGTGACACGTGAATCGGGAGCAGAAACAAGTAAAAAGCAATAAACAAAAATCTCTTTAAGTCACAATATTAATTTATTTGCATTAGTTGGTTAGTATGTAGCTATTATTAGTGATTAGTTGATTAATACCTACTTATACAATGATTTGAAGCTGTTTTTACTGGTAACTGCCATTAATGCCAAATAAAAAAAACTTTATTCCTCAAGATTTAGACTTATTAATTGTATATCGCCCAAAGTAAATAACAGGCTGTAGAGTTTTTGATTATATTTTTAATTATTCTTTATGTTTAAACTATTTGTAATTATTTTATTTCTTAATTTATGTTATTTTACTTCGTTTTCTCTTGTTTTATGTTGTTTATTTAATTTATTTTAATTTAGTTTTCATTTATTTTACTTCATTCTATTTAATTTTTTTTTTGCATTATTTTTGTTTAAATTTAATTAATTCTAATATATTATTTTATTTCCTTTTTTTATTTTTTTCTGTTTTATTTTATCTTATCATATTTGATTTTTTCCATATTTAATTCTATTTAATTTTTAACCGTTTTTCTATGTTATATGATTTTACTTTAATTGATTTTACTTAGTTTCATTTCATTTAATTTTTTGATTTTCTCTTTATTTTATTTAACTTGATATTATTTAATTTTTTGTTTTTAATTTAGATTATTATTATTTTTTATTTTTTTTTGTTCCCATATTCTTTCAATTTTTTCTGGTTTCTTCATTTTATTTTAAAATTTTTAAATCTTTTTATTTGAATCTATGTCGTTTTGTTTTATTTTTCTTTTACTTTATTTAATTTCATTCGATTAGCTATGCTTTTTTATTCCGCTTTTTTTATACATTTTTCTATTTTATTCCATTTTATTTCATTTTATTTTATTTTGTTTTATTTTGTTTTATTTTGTTTTATTTTATTTTATGATATTTTATTCTATGTTATTTTAATTAAATTAAATTCAATTAAATTCAATATAATAAAATCTAATTAATTGAATTTAATTTAATATAATACAATTTTATTTTATTAAATTTAATTTAATTTAATTTTATTTTATTTTATTCTATTCTATTATGTTTTATTCTATATTTATTTTTTTTTATTTTTATTTTATGGCTTCAAGTTCGCTGCCCCGTCTAATTTTTCAAAATGAACAAATATTCAGTAATATTAAGCTAAAAAATTATAAATTTCATTCTAAATTTTCTTTTCTTTTTTATTTTAGAAGTAAAACAGCCGACCCGGGAGTACCCAAATGAGGTTGGGCAAATAAAATTATCTCTACAATATCGCCGTGGTGTCTTAACAGTGATGGTAAGAGAACAAACGTAAAATTTCTAAACATAAATAAAAGCTCCTCGAAGTATGCAAAGTTTTTGAACTTTTTCTGCCCTCAAGGGATAGTTTATTGGAATTATATTGTAATACCATTTCTAAAATATAATTTACTATATTCTTCTAAACTGTCTTCAAAAGATTCATCACGCCAAGGGCTTGCCCATGCTGCAAGGTGGCCAAGAGCCAAATACATATGTCAAATGCTATCTCAAACCGGATACAACCAAAGTGACGAAACGAAAAACGAAAGTTGTGCGAAAAACATGTGTGCCGAGCTTTATGGAAACGGTATGTACATACATACTTAAGTTTACTTAATTAATTTATAAGAAAAAAAAAGAGACAAAAAAATAATCACCATATAACTGCTACTTTCAGCTTGAGTACCGCATGCCGGTCGAACATATACAAAATCGTGTGTTACACGTCACCGTTTGGTCACACGACACGCTGCAAGAGAATGAATTGCTGGGCGGCTTTCAAATCGATTTGAGTAAATATGATTTACGTAAAGAACTAATCAATTGGTTCTGTTTAGGGCCGATGCCAAGGAATTGAATGACGAACCGACAATGTGACCGACGAGTGTAACGTACCTACACAATTAAGGTGATGATTGTCAAGCATAAAATTTACAACTGGCAACAGATCTTCACTTATAATGTATGATAAATGCAACGAGTTTTGTGAAAACTATAGGCAACAGTATTTCTTCCGCACACATGCACACATACATACTACACTTACATATAGGCGAAACTACAGGGTTGCCCGTTAGGGGTTTGCGTAATTTTATACATGCATGCTGAAAGATATATATATATATATATATATATTTATATGTAAAATACACATATGTATAACAGGATAAATAAGGCAAAAAAGCTAGCCTTGCAGCCGGTATGCAGTAATCATTTTCTCAGAGAACTAAAACCACATACATACCGTACATATATTTTTTATATAAAAACTTTACTTAATTGTTGCGTGTCGAGGCGGCAAACATACTACGCACGATTCTCAATTTCGCATAAAAAAACACTTATAAAATGGACATTCCAATTATGCATATAAAAAATAAATATTAAGATTATTATGAAATTTTTTTTTTTTATGCATATAAAAAATAAATATTAAGATTATTATGAAATTTTTTATGAGAGTGTGTCAATAAAAATGAAAAATTGGTTTAATTAAGTACTTGAAGCGAAAAAAAGTATAAGCATGATGCTGAAATTTCTGGCGGTAAAGGAAAATTGAGAAAAATCACAGAAATTTTTTAAAACTGTTCTCAATTTTTTTCTGCATAATTTTCGGATTGTATAATATACTCTCAGATTATTAATATAGTGTCTCATTGTTACAAATGAGCAGGCACAAATTATGATGTAATTTCGATTTGCAGCGCGATTTTAAAGCAGCTCAAGCATCTTATACATATTTCTTTGTACATACTTATTCTATAATGAAAAACAATCAAAAAATATTGCTAAAAGTAAAAAAAGAAATAAAAAAAAATCATAAATAATTATTTTGTAGGAATACACTATGAAAATTCAAAAATTGTTTTAAAATTATGTGCAAATATTTCTTCATTAATTGTTCACTTAGCTTATTTTATATATTATATATTAGTTCCATATTTACACATTGTGTGCGCTCAAAAACTTAATCATTAATTATCTGCTGCATGTATATGTATTCAACGAGGAGAAAGCTCCAACGCTTTCTAATGATAAATCTGTTTGAAATGTTGCCTACATTTCGGTTGAACGCAGCAAAAGCATCAGAGAAGTAGAAGGACAACTGCAACTTCAAATATATACATATTGAGTAAAGTATATATATATATACTTTAATATATACTCTAATTTGATTGTTACAATTTGCTCATATTTTTCTCATATTTTTAAATTTGATTTCATATTCAAAACTATTATTATTCTCTAGCTAAATTTTGCTCACCTTATTTATGATTCATTATTGTCACACTGTTATGTATGTATGTATACCATATGATGTAATAACAAAAAAATGCTCTTTATTGTAAATTTCTTTTTTGACAATTATTCTATACTTATTATTGTATTTATTTGCAATAAACGCGTCTTCGCATATAATCGTTAGTATCTAATTCTAGTTAATCCGCTGTACTATAAAACTGTATTAAGTTTAATGGAACAAAAAAAATAATAATAATTATCTATGTATAACTCAAAATAGTATTAATAATTAATTATGTTAGTCATATCAAAATTTTATTATGTTTTAAGCTTTGGAGCAGCAAAATTGTATATTAAAAAGTAAATAAAATAAATCTATATTAGTATAAAATAATTTTGTCTGTTTACATTTTTTTTGTTTGAAAATGGCATACTTCTCAGAATGCAACAAATCAAAAAGTTTTGGGGGACTATTTATTATTTTTTCTTGCATATCAATTATTATTTTTCATTACAATATTAATAATTGTTTTGTATTTCACTTTTATAATATATATTATAATTTTATATATTTTATGTCGATATTTATTATTATTTTATATATTTTATTTTAATTACAGGGTAAATTGTTATTTTTGTTACGATATATATTAATATTTTTCATTGTCATAATTATTACGATATCAGTTATTATTATTTCAATTTTATTGCAATATTAAATATTTTATTATTCTTTTTGAAATTTTTTTTTAATTACGATATAGGTATTATTTTCGAGACTACATTAATTATTATTTTTTCGTTACGATATTAATTACTACTTTTTCTATTTATTATTATTTTTTAATTTTATTATGATTATAATTACAACTTTTAACCACCATATTATAATATATTTCATTATTATATTAATTTTTATTACTTCCTTAGTTATTATTTTAACCTTACGATAATTATCATATTAACTACGATATTATTTTTATTTATTACGATATTTATTATTGTTATTTTTCACTTCAATATTATTTATTAACATTTTTATTTTAATTTTAATAATTTTTACTTGTTATTGTGGTATTATTATTTTTTTTACTTCGGTATTAATTAGTACTTTTTATTTTAATTTTTCTTACGATATTAATTAATATATTTCGTCGCTAAGAGTATATTAATATTTTTTTTTTAAATACTTTTTAATACGATGTAATGTTTTTTTTATTTTCTAGCGATATAGGAAATTCAAAAGTCAGAATAGCATTCAAAATAATTAATTTATATATAAAATACGATAAAAAATTAATAAAAATAATGAAAATAAATTGTGGATTATTTTTTTGTAATCTAAAAAATTTTAATTTCAGTATAAGAATATTTATTCTCATCAGTCGCATAAAAATTCTTCAATTTATTTCCATTTTATACCAAGAAACTCTAATAAATTTGTAAAATTAAACGTTTGCGTGTAAAGTAAAACTATTAACAAATAAATTTGTATCTAAAATATATGTATGTATGTATATGTAAAAAAATGATGTTGGAGTAGGAGTAAAGAATACTCATATCTGTATTTTTTTTAATGAAAACAAATGATATAAGAGCAAAGTAAGGCAAGAGAGACAGAGAGGGATGGAAAAAGAGTGCAAGAATTAAATATTTACACACATTTTACTTTAGTTACAGAATGTTAAATATACATACATGCGTGAAAGACAATTTAAAAATATTAAATATATTTTAACAATATTTTGCTATAATAAAATTATCACTTTCAAGTAATTTATATAATATTTACAGCGTAAATAAATATACATATTGCAAGAGAAATCTTTAATATGCTTGAATTTAAACTGAATAGTGCGGGAAGGTGCTTTTTTGTTGTTGTTTGAGTGGCTAGTATCAGCCGATGTCGTATAGGGCATCCAATGCGAGTTTGTTAGATTAGGGCCAGAGAGAGAGCGATAAGAAGAGAGAGAAGAGATGGGGAGATCAGGAGAGAGGAAGAGAGAGAGAGAAGAGAAAAGGGCGTTGAGAGAGAGAAAGCGTGAAAAATCAGTGTTCCATAGTGTCATGTCGAGACGTTATTACTTCCGAATGAGTTCATCCGTCATCAGCCACAACAATTGGAGCTGTGCCCATACACTTTGTTGAGGATTTGAAGGGAGTATTTCGGTTTCCAGACCAACTTTTGCAAGAACTGAAGCCGAATGATCAAGAAGCGTGTCACATGTTCGGTGAAAGGTTCCAAAACGAAGTGGCCATCGATCCCAATTTTTGCAAAGGAAATTTTGCTCAGTGATGAAGTTCACTGAAGGAAACTTTTGGTATGCGCATTGACTCGCTTCGTCGGCGTGGCTTTCAAGATCGTGTGTTTTAACACGAGGAGACTATTTTTCGCGGAGTTATGTGAAGTCACTTGTCTACGCAGATAAGCTCGAGACAATTGACGCCTTGCAAGATAATATTCGACGCGTTATAGACCATGCGACACCATTTGTTGTAAAAAATGGTTGAAAATCGCGAATTTATATGAGCCAGCCGCGAAATAAATTTTCTAAAACCTTAACTCTATAATAAAACGAAATTCTTGAAAGCTGCATGTCTAAAAGAAACACCTCGTATATATATATATATATATATATATTTATATAAATGTATGTACTGCGATGTATAAAAAAGGCACGTCAATAAATAAAAATTCTGTTGAACAGTGTAAACATTAAATAACTGACTGCGAAGTACCTGAGTTCGAATCCAGACAGGAATTTAATGTGATTTTTTATTAAAAAAAAAATATTATTTCAAACCATGCATTTGGTTCAACTTTTGTCTTTAGGTGAGCTAAATTCTTTTATTTCTAAAACTGCCTAAAAAAAATAGCTGAAAAGTCCTCCAAGTCATGCCAAAATTAGCTAATTCACCACGATAATGGTGGCATTTAAAAATAGCCCGTATAAATGGCTCTACAAAAAGCTTACGCTTATCAATCAAATGTCAGTAAAATGCATTGATAAGCGATTGTGTTAACTAGCAAATGCATGTAATAGTTTACCGATAAGCCAACAACAACAACAAATTCAAACCACATACACACACGTACAGGTATATATGTGTAGTATAAGATGTGGGGATTACGCTACCCGTTATTGCTTTCGCCGTGAGCTTATCGCTTTCTAATCACACAACACCTTTTATTACAACTAAAACGATGGCATTCTATAGAAATAAAATTTTATTTAAAGAGTGTAACTCCTTTCCGACGTCCACCTCGAGAATGACCGCTGTCACTTGTGTAGAGCAAATTTTTCGATCGTTATCGTGTTTGGAATGGTCTCGCTGGCTAACGTTGCGCCGTTTAGATTGTATTAAATTTGCTGATAGATTTGCACAAAACATTGCATGTGCTGCGGATTGCGGATTGCTTTGGAAAATGCAGTGCAAAGAATGCATATGTCAGACCTCAAGTTCGAAGACGGCAAAGATAGTTTCGAGACCACTTCAATCCGTTGCTGCATTTTACGTTTTATGCAAATTTCAATTTTTTTCTTTCCCATTTTTATTTGTAAATTTTTATGTTGGTCATAAAAAGGGAAATCGATTGATAATTGGTAAATGCAATGAAATTTATTTACAAAAATATTACCCACAGAAGTTATAAATAGCTGATGAGTCATTTGCAGAATGATCCATATGCATAAATGCATTTTTAACCACTCTCGTAAATCAAATAATATTATATGCAGTTGCGGAGAAATCATTTCACATGCAAGTAGTTTGTGGGCCCCTATTATTGGCAGCAACCGCGGTTAATTTTCCTTTCCTTTCCTTTATTCTGTAAAGACCTCAAAAGTCTCAAAGTTGTTCATAGGTACAATAGCATCGCTGATCAAGTGGACTTATGGTTTGAAAGCTAAATTGCTCCGTAACCCTATTTGGCGTAGGCTCCTACTGCTACCGTTGACGCCTCTGTACCTTCCAACTGCCACGAATTTTGTATGAAAATCCTTTAACTTTTCCTATTTGGGACGTACCAACAAATTACTGTGGAATAGTGTGGATTGCGGTCAGACTGAACTGTTGCAAGTACTAAGCAAAAGCGAACTTAGTGTCCTTGCAGGTGAACGGACGTAGCATTTACCCTTGATACTTTGATATTCCTGA